CAAACACCACCAGCCGACCACCATTCGTGGAACCTGCATCGACCACGTCTTTGCAAATTTCGACCTACGACCGCTGCAACCCGATCCACTCACTCTTCACTTTACCGACCAAAAAGCCATCGTGCTCAAAGTTCGTCGCAATAAATAAACACCGCCCTTTCGCATACGTGTCGTACGTGTTCACTCATTTAACACCCCTCCTACAACCACGTTAACCAATTTAGCCAGCGACCCAAGTAAGTCGCAATTTAACACCCCATTTCACAACCACGTTAACCAATTTAGCCATCGACCCAAGTAAGTCCACTTTAACACCCCGTTAACCAATTATATGCTCCGCATCCTCCTCAGTGTTCTCCCGAGGGAAGCTGCGGGCAATTTTTTTCATGCTCGCTGCTTCTCGCGTTTTATTTGACGCCGATAGTGAATACAACAAACCGTAGCAAGCCTCCATTGAAGAAATAGCACAGGGACGCCATAGACACACTGTTGAAGTGAGCCTTTTTCAAGACGCTATTGGCGTAGAGCTTTGACAGCCACACAGTGAACGCCGCAGCTTAAGCGAACGAGCTTTCACGAAAAAGAAAGCGCTTCGCGTGAGCCTAATGAGTTAAGAAAAGCAATTATGAAAAGGGAGAGAGAGAGAACCTCCTCAGCTGACGAGAACACAGACGTATACACATGCTTTATTTTTTACAGCCGGAAAAGTCACGTGACACTATAACTAAAAAAAAGTAGATTTTTTCAGGTGCTCGTTTCTTAGAAAGAGTTACATACGTTCATCAGATCATTCGGCCGAAGGCGGCATAGGGAACATCTATTGTTATTTTTTACATTACTGTAGTATTTCTGAATAAATATGGCAATACATTTAATGGACACAAAGCACTCTTTCGGAGGGTGGAATCGAGACCCACAAAATTTTAATTTGTTCACCTTCAAAGCAGAACGTTTCAAGATTCACAAGCAATACTGGCAGCTGCTTTCGATGACAGCGAGAATATAGAAATAAATAATCACGTGTGATCCCGCACAGGCTGGTTCCTGTACGCTTTTCCTGGCCTAGTTGTCTGTTAATTTCATCTGCTAGCGCTCAGTATTATACAGATTTGGGGGACGCAATAATGAGACTCGATGTATTTACCACGGACGTATAAATGAAAAAAAAACACATTTAGGTGAAGCAGTTGAGAAGTTGCCAACCGACCAAAGCCACGCACTGCCCACGTGAGGCACGTGGTATAGCCGTGGCATCTACTCCGACGTTGCGTCTGCAAATCCATCACGTTCGCAACAATGTGAACGTTGCGCGGCGTCAGAGGGCGACATGAATGTAAAGAACATAAAAGAAAGTTGGTGTAAGTTCTGTCAGTAGAAAAAAAAAGGCTCTTAGAAATGACCTTTCTTCGCACAACTAGAACAAAATGATCCCCCGCTAACAGATGCGCTCTTGTTAATGGCAGGCATAGCGTACATTCTTTTTCCTACGGCTCCACGAACACCTCCCGCTGTTTGGCCTTTTCTTTTTCTACGGCCTACGTGACTGGGCCTCGGCACAGTTTCCCAATGTGCTTCGTCACTAGAAGGTCTTCTCTCTATAGTGCACACATTCAGCGGAGGAAGCGGAGGTGCGGCATCGAATGCGCAGGGTATATCAGTGCTTCATTCCTATGATTCAGTAAGTCTAAATTACTGTCACCTACCACCACATTCCGTGAGTGCAGGAAATAGGCACTAGATGTGTCTTCACAGCATTGCAGCTACCTGTTCCCGTTGTAAATTTTATGGTTTCGAGCACTTAGGTGGCCTATCGTCAGAAGAAGAATTCACAATGCTCCAATTCCCTCACCACAGGGGAGGCTTAATTTTCAATGAGATGAAGTGTGTATAGAACTCACCATTAAGCGGAAACTTTGGAATCGTTTCAGTTTTTTCCGGTTACGCCACGTTAACTTCATACAAAAGAAAGAAAATTTTTCGAGGAGCTCGTTTTTTTTTCTTATAAAAATTATTCAATTCACGCGGGTTCGGATCTCAACAGCGTAAATTGTGTTTTCAAGTTCACATAGTCGTCCATATAGACCATTACAATACAGTTAAAAACACATAAATTGCCCAATGCTTAACTTGTCTTGATTGGTTTGCTGGTTTTATTGACTGTGTCTAACCAAATTATGATTAAGGCCCGCTGTATCGTGGGATATCATTGATATTTTTTTAAGAGAGATACAGATATGAAAGTTACAGAAAAAGCAGAGAGATCGGCCTTAGTTATAGTACCTTGCTGTAGCCTGTTACTCTACACTGGAGAGGAGAGACAGGGTATCGAAAGAGTGATGAATGATGGTGGTAACATATTATTAAAAGCAGCGAAAACTGCAAGACAAGTAGACACTTACAGCGCCCTCTCTTCCTCGGCTTCAAATATCGCACCTCGAACAGCCCTTCGCACATATGCACCCAAAGATGAAAAACATCTAAAAATATTTTATTTACTCTTTTTATTCTGTAACTAAGGCATTGTGATTTGTAACAAAATCATCATTAATTTTTTTTTATTTTCAAATGACCGGCATCAACAACCTCTGTTGTACTGCATGCTTCACACGACTCCAGAATAAGATACATTCAAAGGTATACCCTCCGCGTGTCTGTCTGCGTACGCGTGCGTGTGAGTCATAGTTGCAGGTAACGCGTTGTAAGTAATCGAATACTTGTAATAAATTACATTTTGTAGTAATTTTGCATTACAATCGATTAATTTTTCGCCACTGTGTCGCTATGGAAAACATAATTACGTCTTTTTAAAGTGATTATCCGTATTCAATTACTCTCTTTTCAAAATCAAGTTGCAATAGCCTTCTATGGCAATGCTCGTCCTGAAAAATATGCCAACACTCTTTATGGACCTCCACCATAAAGAAAAGGTAGAAAAATAGGGTATTTAAGGACCCCGGGTCCTGTCAGGCGGGGGTCATTAAAAAGCCTATTTTTTCACTTTTTTATCTTGGTCCTGACTGCAACTTCTTATCCGAGCACTGGAAACAGTGGAACGCGGCGTTTCACAGAGAACATAAACTTTATAATCAAAGCACTGCGTAACTACAAGCTGGTCAGCAAGGTGTTTCTGCGTTATATTATCACCATCCCCTCCAGGGCATGTATTTAGGGCATGTTCATTGTAGCAACTTCCTTCTTAACGAAGGAACATCGAGGAATCAGTGACAACTTTGAAAAACAACTACAGCTTAATGCTAACAACCTGCAACACTATATCACAGAAGCCATAATAAGCCTCTGAGTATTTTCGCAAGCCACCTGCAGTCCTTTCTCTACCGCGCAAGTAACAGTATTTCGTTGAAGTTGGAGTGAACCTGTGTTACTGTGTTATGGAAATAAAATTTTGAAGGTGAACTGATCATCATCGACGGAGAGTGGGAAATGACAAGGGCTAATCCCTTCTTGCCCCCTCCTAGCCCGAAGGAAACTGCTGGACATTGAATAAAGCTTATTCCTTCAAGCACAGCAATGCAAAAGTAACTGATCACATTTCTAGAATTGCTCAGTTACGTTTGTGAGGCTGTTATTGACCACTGTAACCAACTACACATCAAAGGGAGCAATTAAAGCAGCAGTAATCGCCTACTTATTTTCTGTGACGTGTGCAACTATCAGAAGGTGTATTTCGTGCAGAATCTTCAAATGCCGAGCACTTTGCGTTTATAATCTTTATTACCATTCTCTTTTTAGGAGGCGTATCCAGGCAGTTCAGCATGGTTTTTAAGAGGGCATCGCTACCCAATGTATTTACATTGGCACCCTTACGACGCAGCTCGTGCAAAGACATTGGATTGCCCCTCGAAGGCCAACAGGCGGAGCCTATCTTCAGAGAGGTGAGAGGCCCGGTGTCAAACAAAAGTTACTACAAAGCAGGCCACTTAGTAAGCATATTTAGAATCGCTTCCATAAGTGTGAATTTGATCAGCGCAAGAAGGTGCTAGTTACTTGTGTTCAGCGCTTGGCAGGTATTGATCGAGAATTGATTTGAATCTGAATCGACACAAGGACGCTGGGCTTGTATCACGTCATCGTACTAATCAGGGATTGCAGACATTACGTTTATGCATTTCAAATGCACCAAAAAAAGTGAAAATTGACAACTGAAGGTTTGTGCATCTTGTCTAAAACATATAAGATGGCCTGACTGGGTTATCTATGAGTTTTAGGCAATTTACGTCATATATATATTTAGTACCCCTCATTTATTTATCACTTCGCTATGAATATTTTTTAATATATCTCAGAGCTTTATTATACTTCTTGCTATAGTGGGCCACATGCGTGTTTCGTTCAGTGTTGTCGCCTTCCCATCTCGGTAATTTTGTTATTTTGTTGTTTTCCTTGTGACGGGTGAATTATGATGTGGTAAGCCACTTTTGTTCTATGTGTACTATGTGTACCCAGTCATGGTCTATGTGTACTATGTGTACCCAGTCATGGGGTCTAATAAACACAACTCAACTCAAACTACGCGCGTATGTTTAACACGTACTTGAAACATCAGCGAAAATACGACGGGGACTCGAGAGTAGAAGGACATAACACACATGATATGCGCTCTTTAACAACTGAAGTTTGATGAAACAAAACTGAGGACACTAAAAATCAACACTATGCGGGCGCATGCATGTTAAGTCACTTGAAAGAAATTGCCAGTCGCGTGTACCTCCCTGTCTAGAAAACAGATGGTTCAGGTATCAAATGATTAATTTGATGGAGAACGTTTCTGCGAGTTCACGACCCCTTTTTTATCTTTGTGTTTTAACATAAAGGCTGTGTTATTTAAAAAATATTTCATTAAACTTCAGTTGTTAGACAGTGCTTGTATGTTTCGTGTTTCCGTCGTGTTTGCTATAATTTTCCAAGTGTGCATCGTTTACAACTTGTCCATCTCTCCACCTTACATGAATTCATTTAACACGTGTTCTGCGTTCATTCAGGCCGAAGACAGCGACAGGTCCTCGCGTGCCTCGGCTGACGCGGGAAGCCCACTAGACTTTTCAGTCAAGCCGAGGAGGGGCCAGTGGGCGAGCAAGGCCGACTTCGTTTTCAGCTGCATCAGTTACGCCGTAGGCCTGGGCAATGTGTGGCGATTCCCGTACCTCTGCTACGAGAACGGAGGAGGTGAGAATGTTATGTGGCGTCCAGTGTGTGCTCCTTCCTGGTCGTTACTTCACGAGCGTAATCCACTCCGCGTCGCAAGAGGGAATACAGAAGTTTAGAGCTTGCTATGCAAATATGAACTGCGGTGGATATTGTTCTCATCGATGCGTCTCCGATACGGAACAAGCACAGGTGTTATTTCCTTTGCTGTAATCACTAATAATAATAAGGCGCGAAAAAAGAACAGCGCATTGTATGCATAAACACGCGGTTATTGCATGTCCCTGCGCAGGTGCCTTCCTCATCCCGTACTTCGCATGCCTCCTCACCACGGCAGTGCCCATGTTCTACTTGGAAGTGGCCAGTTGGACAGTACCTCAGCAAGGGAGGCGTCGGCGTCTGGGCCGTGGCGCCGATGTTCAAAGGCACGTGCTGGTTCACCCTTGATAAAATATATAATCGTGCAATGCGAACATAGGGTGTTTCATCTGGCTTACGTGCGTTTTTTTTTCTTTCTTTATTTTTAGCCGCTGAAAGAAAACCTTAACATGGCTGTTATATTAGCATTGATGAAATAATCAGACGTTTATTAAGAAGTGTTACAGTTTCCGTATCGAAGACTTTTCACTAGAGTTTTCACTATTTAAAAAATTAGTTGAGCACTATTGGTTAATTATCCGGTATGGTATAGTTTAAAAAATTAAGACTTGCTCCAAATGGCTCAGAACAACACTGAAACGACTCGGCATGCATGCTAATTGAACACTAAAGCTCCCTTCAGCTGCCTAAGAAAATACTCAACTAGCGCGTTAGTATCTTCTGTCGTTTTCCCGGTTTGTAGCACAATCCCTGACGTTAAGAGTTCGCTTACGTGACGTCGGGATGAAATAAGTTCTCTATTTGTCAATGTAAAAGAGATATACGTTGAGTCTTGTCACTTACCCTGCTTTGGCATTAAGTTGCATGCCCATTGCCCCTTGTCTGGCATGACTATCAGAGGGCGGTAACTCCCCTCTACCTCCCATGTATTCGCTCTCGGCAGCGGCAGCGCCGCTTTTAACACTGGTGGTTGCCGAGCACCCTACTAGAAATAAATCACTAACAACAAATTAATTTCATGACGCCCCTGGTGAGGTCTTCAAATAGAGGGAAACGACGAAAAATTGAGAAGCGGAGGGTTGCTGCGGAAGCCCTCTTTTTTTTTTCTTCCCACTTCACATGAAATTGGAATGCGCTCGTGCCTTCTTTCAGGTCCGCTGAAATGCGACCGCTGGAATGCGGCCATTCGTGAAATTTTGTTATTCTTTTTTTCTTAATTTTGTTTGTGTTTTCTGAAGAGGCGAAAGTTAAGCTGACTGATTTCTCAGTACGACGAAACTTGATCGGCACGCGTCTTGTTCAAAAAAAAAACAGACACCTGTGAAAGTGTCAATTTATAGAAGCAACTTTAACTTACAATTGACATACGGACATAATAAGAAAACTTTCGACCCAGAATATCCGAAGCATTGCGAAAGTTATCAACAATCGAGAGTGGGAAACGTCATCTTTGACTCAATCACGTCTCTTATGACTGGCGCGCATAGTTTTCTTACAGAAGCGTGAGGAACCAAACGAGACTGAAGTTCAGAGGCACCGAGAGGCTTGAAGCGATGAAAAATTTTTCGAGAAATAGCGTCGCTGGAAAGAGTGTTTCGGCAAGTTGACTTGTCTTCGTCAGGACAAACGCGTTGCCTTGACGAAAAAAAAAGCTCGCTTGTCAGAACGTTGACTCTACCAACACTCTCCGTAATAATTTTAGAAGCATTTATTCCATCACGTGTATTTGAGTGACACTATATTAGAAGTGAAGACTCACAAATTTTCAAACCGCAGCTACAAGAATTCCAAGAACAAGAAGCAGCCTATATTTATTCGACATCATTTGAACTACCCACCGAAAGTAAAAGAAACTAAAACTATGTAGCCGAGCCAACTTGATTTCAAGCCTTTCAATAAACGCATTTTACGGACAGGAGCTTGGCTGCCGTGTTCACCAATCAGTCAAGCGACACTGAACTTCTGTCAGTCAAGTCAGATTTCCAGAGAACTGGGTTTACTCATATGTACTCATGCAATTATCAATACCTGTTCAAATAGTGAGTCCAAATACTTGTGCTTACCCGTTGGCTTTAGGAAACGCTGAAAAACCTTCGCTGGACTAGAGATCCCTGGGTTAGGACACCGCAGAGCCGCGAAAACATGTGTTGCCCGAGTAAGTCATCTTCGACGATGTACGGTCGAATTGTTCAGCGTAGCTCGCGGCGGCTTCCGTTCTCTGCCCGCCACAACTTGCTGCCTTTATCTTTCCCGTAGGTGACACGCCAACCGAGTGAGATAACTGAGCGCGATCCAACTTCTAATATCGCTGAGCGAGGGGAGAGAAGGAGCGGAGGCGAGGGCTACGAACGCGAAGCTACTTCCTTGCGCTTCGCCTGATTTAAAATTAACAAAAAAAGGAATAAAAAAGACATATAAACAAAACGGAAGTTCTTTACAGGGGTATTAATTTTTTTTATTTGTAAAGACTTGCGGAAGTCAATAAATACGAACATTCACATGAACCTCACTCTGTTCAGTCAAATATTAAGATGCCCGGCAACCACTACGAGCGTGCAACTGACGTCACTTCGTTTTTTTTTTTTTTAGTATGCAGACTTGGAACGCATGGTATAGTCGAAAAGCGCGAAATTTAGAATGGCCTAACGCATTGTGCTGACATTCCACGTGTGTTATGAAGAAATAAGACGCGAGAAAAATGATAGCCCTTCCAGGAAGGGTCGTGAAGGCGAGAAAGAAACTACTCTCTCGCCTATATGAACATCGTTTGGTTGAATTAGGGGCCCTTTAAATGTGAAACATTTCCTCATAGACTGCAGGCACTTTCAGCGTATCTATCTATCTATCTATCTATCTATCTATCTATCTATCTATCTATCTATCTATCTATCTATCTATCTATCTATCTATCTATCTATCTATCTATCTATCTATCTGTGCTCTCGTGATCAATTCCTTAACTTGGGGTAGATCGAAATTAGTGCAGTTACGTAAGAGGATCTTACGATTATGTCTGTCTGGGGATGACATGAACAATGTGAAAATACCGTCGTGTATGACGTCATACTCTCTTCTCCAGACAGGTGTGGCACATACCCGTATACCACGGGCCGCGGTATGCGGGTATGTGCCACTGGTGTTTGACAGTTTACGTCTATCGAGGAATGGTGAGGACAGACATTGATTATTTAAATGAGGGAACGTTAAGAAAAACCAACATCTGCAGCGTTGATCTTATGAATGCGAAGAATACATGTTCTGGTCACAGCGGGAATCGAACAAAACAATTCTGCGTGGCAATGAAGTATTCTACCATAGAACCACGCTATTTTTCGGAACATGCTTTGAAAAAAGACCTTATGCCTGCATAATCTTGGTGAAACGTGAATTGTGGTAGCAGTACTCACTGCCCATCTATTCTTATAAACGTTACATATCAACTGCGCTGATACAGGCGTGACGTCTGCTTAGCGTCAATTGTAGTTGAGCGCCATCTCATGAAATGGGTCTACGGAGCACGGTCCAGGAGTACCATGCATCATCGCAAGAACAAGCGCTACCTTTAAGTTTACCGCTTCTGGTGCTGGCAATACCCATGTTACGCAAATGGGAACAATTCAGCCATATAAACAATGCGTCCTGTTCAACATATATCTGTGCGTATAATATTTGTACATATGTTTAGCGTCATTTTGTAAGGTATCGCTCAACAACAACAACAACAAAATTGCAGCACATCCACGGAGTGAATGATGATGAGTCGGGCGAAGCGTCCGTCCGTGCATGCGTCCATGCGTCCGATCGCGTTCGACAATGCAGACGGTGCGCGGGTAACACCGACGAGACTCGAAGTGACTTTGACTTTGAAAAGGGAAAAAGGAAGAAATGAGCGCCGTACCGTTACTGCATTTCTTAAACGAGGGCACCTCCACAATTCTGTGCAAGGAATGGGGGAATCGAAATTACAGGGGAGGAGAAAAGTGGCAAGAAAAAGGTAGAGGAAAGAAAAAAATGGTAGCATATTGACGGGATGATTGATGGAGAGTAGGGCGAAGCATCTGTCCATCCATTCGTTCTTGCTTCCGTCCGTCAATGCGTCCGTCCATACTCCCGTTCGTGCGTGCGTGTATTCATGCGTTCACACGTCCATCTGTGCGTCCGTCCCTGCGTCCGTCCATGCATCCATCCGTCCGTGCAGCCATCCGTGCGTCCGTCGATGCATCTGTCTGTATGTCCGTTCGTCCATCTAGTCAACACTCCAAGTACCACCACCTCGCATCTTTTCATCATATATTCCGCATATAGAAGCACCACCATCCAGCAGACACTTCCAAGGACTAAACGAGAGGTGGCACACACACACACTTTCTTACGGCTTGCGCTTCGTGTCTGCTTCCCGCCTTTAACCATAAAGATATCTAGTTGAAAAAAGCTGGTCTAGCATAACATTAATGGGAATGTGCTTGACAGATATGCACCGTAAGTGATAACAACACATACTGAACGTACGCAACACTGTGTGCCAACTATGGATGGCAACATTGTGTTTCCAGTGGCTTATTGTTCAGCCAAATGTAGATTTCAATGTCTGAATGAGGCCACTGTTACAAATTCAGATGAACCAGGGTGTACAAAAGTTCATAGTATATACTAGTTCACTGTATTCATGGCACTGCGGCCCAACGCTCGCTAAACCTTTCAAAAACCAAGATGGTTACGCCCAGCGAGTATAACGTAGCAACCCTTTCTTGTCAGATAGTGCTCATTGTACATGCCAATGGCTGCTAATAGGGAATGAGAGACAGGAGAGTTCGGCTTTTAGTTAACGCGCACGCTGCAAATTTTTTATTGTTCAACAACGCACAAGAGAAATCTCCCACCGACACCACCTTGCAGGTCGAAGCGTAAGACATGTTACGTACTACGACGAGGGACAAACGGGTGCCGCTTTAAGGAGCTTCGCCCTTAAAAAGCGCATTCAAACTGCGAGTCGCGCACGCGCAAGATGAAGACCCGTATGACACACGCAGTCGACTGAGAATACCACCAAGAAGGCCGGGGGTATAGTGATGTGCACGTTTTAACACGGGCCAGAGAAGAACTGATGAAATGCAGTCGGTTCGTCCAGGGAGAGGCCAAACAGTTCAGCCATGTACTCGAAGGCGAGCAGGGGCTCAACACAGAGATTGCGCTCGTGGCAGCCAACTGGGAGGGCCATGAGCGCCATGTGAAGTCCCGAAGCAAGCCCAGTGAGGATGTCATTCCAGGTTTTGATGTCAGGTTGCTGCGAAGTCGAGGTAGCGGGCTCAGTCGTCGTGCTTCTGGTGACGGTGACAGGAACCGGCGGTTGTGAAAAAGCGCGCGGTGTCTGCGTAGCCGTCGAGCGCTTTTTGACGATGGTATGGGTCGGCTGAGCGGCTGGACAGCGCGGCTCGGTTGCAGGATGTTTCCCGCGACAGATTATGCAGCGAGGGCGTGCTGCACACGATCCTGGGGCGTGCTTGATGTCGCAGCACAGGAACTGTTCGTCTCGAGAGCAGGTGGTGGTTGCGTGCCAGAAGTGGCCACTGCGGGAGCACTGCAGGGGCCGCGGCTGACGGGGTCAAACAGGGCGCCTTTGCTTGTAAAGCAGTATATCCGCCGGGGCGGTAGTCCAAGCGAAGGTGAGGGTGAGGCAGATGCCTCTGCGTACACCGGACACGAGGGGCACAGGTGAAGCAATGTTGTCGGCGAGGTCCTCGAAAGGGATCATTGAGTCCACTCAAAAAACCATGCCAACACAGGTGTTCAGGTCGAGTTGTTTGGCTCGTACCTTGGTCTAGCAGATCGTCCCAACCTGAAGTAGGGTGGTCAGATCGGCGGTGGGGTGGGGGTCGACAACAACAATGTTGCGCCGAAAATGGACCTGCACTCGCCGGGTGGCTGAGAACCCTGAAAGGACGGCGGTAATCGCATCCCTCGACGCAGCCAGGAAGTTAGCCTTCTTCCCGACAGGCCGAAAGACGATGGTGAGACCGCACATCCGCTCGGAGGAAGGTCGCCAACAACTTGGGGACCGTCAGAACGCGGAGGCGTGCTTGGGGGCACGCCGCGCTCACTGGAGGCGGACGCCGTTTGCTCGGCGGCCGCAGTAGTTGAAGGACGAGATGAGGAGGTGTTGCTGCTAGGGGGGTATCCCTCTAAGATAGCCAGACGCGACCCAAGATGGCCGAGCGCAAGCGTATTCAACGCGCCCTCTACTCTGCTCCATCCATGCTCCACCAACAATCCGCCACGTACAGCGACTATCCAGGAGACTGAGAGAGGCACTTGTTGGCAAACAGTGTGCAGCAGCCAATCGGAGAGTAGCGGCAGAGTAACGCCATCTAGGAAATGAGACGAAAAATGGTAATCTATTTCTTTTGCCTTTTTACATGCGGAGCATGTTATACTAGGGGCTAGTCATGCGCCGTCGCCGTCCGCAGCCTCCCCTCCTCCTCTGCCAGCCATCTGTGCATCCCTTCCTCCTCTCAACACAGCGTGCGCTGCGCTCACTTCTCCCCTCCGCACACCGCGCGACCTTTAGTTCTACGTACGCCAGCTGTATGCTAACGCGCGCATGTGCAGGCCGGGGCCGGTGCCCGCTATAAATATAACCGAGTGTCAGGGCACGCTGCCCTTTGTCGGTTCGTTTGTGCGGTCGCTTTACGTCCGATGTCGCTGGTGAAAATGTATGCTAACGAATCCGCAAACACACTTACTGACGTCCCTTCCAATAGCGTCAGCCAATGTGTTGGGGGAACCGCAAGCAATTCTGAAGACACTTCGTCCGTGGACAAGGCCGCGCTGAGAAGAGCTTGCGATGCGGAACGCAAACGTCGGCGTCGAGCGGAAGATCCCCAGGTCTGAGAATGTGAAGCAGCTGCGAGACGTCAGCGTCGAGCGGAGGATCACCAACGTGAAGCAGCTGCGATACGTCAACGTCGAGCGGAAGATTCCCAGCTTCGAGAACGCGAAGCCGCTGTGAGGCGTAAGCATCGGCAAGAGAATCCGGATGGTGAAGTCGCGTGCAAGCGTCGACGCCGCGAGGCCAATCGCGATGCCGCCCGCGAGCGCGCCACGATAGCGACGTGACGAAACCCCGTACTCCGCAGAGTGGACGTGCTTTGCTTCGCCGAGACGTGGAACGCCACCGATGACGTCGACGTTGCGGGATACGCTCCGGCCTCGTGCACGCACGGGTTCCAACGACCTGTGGGCGGCGTGAGAATTTACGTGAAGCGTGACGACGTCGACTTTGTCTAAGACCTCTAACGGCGGCTCGGCGCTCAACAACGCGCCAACGGCGAGCACTGCGTCGCTAGCGTCTGCGGAGTCGACGTCATGACGATGTACCTTGCGCCCAACCTATCGCGTGCCGCCGTGGAGAAGTACGTCGACGAAGCCGTGGAAGAATACCTGAAACAACGACCGCAACGACGACCCTTCGTGATAGTTGGCGACTTCAACGTCGACTTCAAGGACGATTGGGTGGTCGACTACATAGAGTCGTGGCACTCGCTGAAACAAGCAACGCATGGCGGCACACATCATCCGACCACGGTTCGCGGAACGCACATCGACCACATCTTTGCAAATTTCGGCCTTCGACCGCTTCAACCAGACTCACTCACCCTTCACTTTACGGACCATAAAGCCATCTCGCTCAAAATACCAAAAGCGTATCATCAATGAACATCGTCTTTCGCAGCATACGTGCGTGCATGTTCACTTATAACACACACGCATGTCGCAAATTACAAACCACATTTATCGCAGTTCAACATATATGCTCTGCAAGCTAACTTGTGTTCCCACTTGGGAAACTGCGGTCATTTTTAGGGGCGAAGCTCCTTAGGGCGTGGGCTGTGCGTCCCCTGTAGCCTGTATGTAGCCACCTCTAGTTTAGTTCTTGCAGTGTTCACTAGATGGCGGTACCGTCCCCTGTATGTAGCCACCTCTAGTTTAGTTCTTGCAGTGTTCACTAGATGGCGGTACCGTCTCCTGTATGTAGCCACCTCTCGTTTAGTTCTTGTAGTGTTTACTAGATGGTGGTACTTGTAGCTGATGATGAAAAGATGCAAGATGTTATAAACTAGAAAGCGGTACTTGTAGTTGATGAAAGACGCGAGATCTTATAAAATAGGAATGATGTCACATATGGCGCGTGTCATTGGTTGAAGGCAATCGTTCGATTTAGTGCGGCGACGTACGCTAGGGGGAGCGATGTAATAAAATCGAGTGGGCAAAATGTACAGAGGATTCATGGTTTACCAGGTTTACCTCCGGAGCTTCGCCCACTCATCATCATTCACTTCGTGGATATGGCGGAATTTTTTTTTCGTCTTTTCTCGGTTACACGTGACTAGTCACAAAGTTAGATATAAGAAGCTTAACCCCTAAAAAATGACACCACAGTCACCTTCTCTCCGCATGCTTCGCATGACGTCGATTCCATGATACGTGAGATAGATCTTCGTACTTTTATTTTTATTTGTTTGTGAAAGTTATTTGAAACACCCTGTATGTAATTCGTGCCATGTTTTTTTTTTGCAGGCGTCGGCATCGCATCGCTTGTGGTGTTGATGCTAAGCAGCGTCTACAACATGGTCATTGTGGCTTGGATTCTGTTCTATTTGATATCATCTTTCACCACGGTGCTCCCCTGGAAGCACTGCGGGAACTACTGGAACACGGACAGGTGCTGGGAACACAACTATACCCACCCAATGCCGCCACACAATAAGACGGTCACGCCCATCGTGGAATTTTGGGAGTGAGCACAGTCTTTTATACATACATACACACATACATACATACATACATACATACATACATACATACATACATACATACATACATACATACATACATACATACATACATACATACATACATACACACATACATACATACGAAAGTGACCGGGACGTCCCGCTAAGACGTCGTGCATCGACTTGTAATGAAATTTTATGACGACCATCCGACATCACGCATGCCCTTCAGTCATGCGTTTTCAGTTGAATGAACAGCATTCTAGGGGGCTAAACGGGCATTCCACAAAATGCAGTTTCTTCTGGGGTCAGGCATGAGAAACGCTTCCCGAATAAAAACTCAGGAGAAAAGCGTTCAGTGATATCAAGTGGGACTTAAAAATATTATATAAAATTGTAGTCGAAACGAAATGTACTACAGACGATTAAACTATTTTTCAACCTAGGCATACCGTGATTTACAAGAATCCCCTACAATATTCAATAGCAAAATACCATGACTGTTAAATATCGATTAGCTGTTGTCTAATGCTGTCTGAATGCATTTACAACGACGTAAGCGAATTATGCATGTCTCCTGCTTTGCTTGCTCTTTATTACATGAAGCGCTTTGCACGCCTTCGGAAAATTAGCCATTCAATGTATACGGCGACCACAGCAACGTGTTCAGTTGCATCTGAGAAATGCTCACATATCTTCATTGACCTCACGTGTGTTTCCTGTGTAATACAGAACGCCATGTCATAAATAAAATACCCGGTGTTCAACAACCGACTCTCTAGAGGTGATAGGGACTTATTGTGCTGTTCATACGAACTTTCACGTGAAACTGTCAGGTGAACTTTCCAGGTTTGCACGGTACAATACCATAGCCATTACAGCGTAGTTGACAATGTCCTACTTACCAAATGTCACAGAACGAGAGCTAAAAAAAGAGCGCGCCGCCAAATCCTTGCGACAACGGGCGGCAGAAACGCCGCGAGGTAAAAAAGAAAAAAAAAGAAAGCAAACATCCAGGGCTCCCGGGCGCGCGCTCTCCCCGCAGAAGCACGGCTTCGCAGACGATCCTCCTCACCCCACATCGGCGGCCCAGCAAGACCGCGATTTTTCTCGAACGAAGGAGGCGGGGTCAGACCGAGTGAATCATCCTCGGGAGAGGGCAGTCGAACCGTCTCGTGCCTCTCCCCAGCCTTCGCTGCGTATCGCGCCGACGAAATGACGAGAAACATCTGGAAAGTCGCGCGCAAGGTATTTAACCGAGCAGCCGAGACGAGAAATCAGGAGGTGACGGAAGTTAACGCCAGAGCGCGTAGGAATTCCGCCGTGTAGTCGGCGAAGGTTCTGCCCGTAGTGACAGAACAGGAGGAGACGGAAGTTAACGCCAGAGCGCGTAGGAATTCCGCCGTGGAGTCGGCGAAGGTTCTGCCCGTAGTGACAGAACAGGAGGAGACGGAAGTGAGCGCCAGAGTGCGTAGAGAGTCCGCCGTGTAGTCGGCGAAGTTTTTGGTCCGCAGGGACGGCTCGAGCTACAGGCAAGAGTGTGTGTTTACCGCTATCGAGCGAAGACCCGTGGCAACCGCTGCGAGTGTGAAGCCGACGTGTTCCGGCGAAGAAGTTGAAGTTTGAAGAGTGGCCAATTGAAGACGGGAGGTTTCCTGGGAAAGAACTTCGAGAGCTGCGGAACGACAACAACGCTGGACTTTGAGTGAGTGATTCTCGGAAGAGTATCATTCAGACTTTTGTTCCAAGGACTTTGGACTGAATAGGTTTTATATCTCTTTAGTCTTTAAGTGTCTTGGTTGTTCAATGCATGCGACTGCATTGTAGTGCGTATTGTTGTCTGTGTCCGTTGTTTCAAGTGTGGTTGATTGTACTGTGTAGTACATTGTCTGTTTGGTGACGTATTGTATGTAACTATTGTGGAGTGTGCATACGTGTGTATTGTTTTTGATCTGCCGTTAATGAGAATATAATTTTGTTTGTTTATCAACTCTCGGCTCTGTCTTGTTCTTTGGGCTACAGCCGGCGTCCGCTGGCGCACCAATAAGGACCACTTCTAAATTGTCCACGCTTTCGTGGTGCGGTTCGGGGGGCCGACACTTCGGCTCTTGGAATTAGCCCGGCGATCGCCTCCCTAATAAACGGGACAGGTGTGACAATTAATGTGGCGTCCGCGACAGGACCTTTTGGTGCACAGTGTGTCCAAAGTAGTGAGAAAGAGCCTCGAGTTGTTGATAGTGCTATCGGAACGATTTTGTGTGTTGTTCAGTGTTCTCGTTAACGAGTGCAGGGGAGTGTTCCGATAGACTGATTTAGGCAGATACTTTTTGCACGCGGCAAGGTTTTATTTGCGAGTTGCGAGACACAATGGATCTCGAAAAGTTAGTTGCGCTTGGTGAGAAGATGGGTCTTTCTGGCGCCGAACTACGGAAGTGGGTAAGCCAGAAGGAGAAAGAGGCGGTGGAGAGAGAGAGGTTGGCAGCGGAGAGAGCCAAGGAAGAAAAAGCCACTGAGTTAGAACGGGAGAGGTTGGCAGCTGAGAGGGCCAAGGAAGAAAAAGCAGCTGAGTTGGAACGAGAGAGGTTGGCAGCTGAAAAGGCGAAGGAAGAAAGAGAGCAACAATTGAAGTTGGAGTTAGAGAGAGAAAAGCTTGCAGCTGAAAGGGCGAAAGAAGAAAGAGAGCAGCAATTGAAGTTGGAGCTGGAGCGAGAAAAGTTGGCAGCCGAAAGGGCGAGAGAAGAAAGAGAGGCAAAAGAGCGCCAGCTGAAAGAAGAAAGAGAGGAAAGGGAACGGCAGCGGCAGCACGAGATGGAACTCGAGCGGCTCCGTTTGCAACAGCGAAGCGAAGCTCCCGTCCAAGCTAGAGTTGAAAGCAGCGAACGGGAAGATCACGGCTTCCGCTTGAACCCAAGCAAGCTGCTCGTAGCGTTTGATGAAAGGAAGGACGACCTAGACGCGTACCTCCACAGATTTGAGACGATTGCGAGGAGCCAGAATTGGCCGGAACAGCAATGGGCAACTGCTTTGAGTACTTGCTTGAGTGGTGAAGCGCTCAGTGTGTACGGTAGGCTGACGCCGACCGATGCAGCCAACTATGCAAAGGTGAAAGCTGCTTTGCTGAAGCGATTTAGGTTTACCGTGGAAGGATTCCGGGACAGATTTCGGACAGGAAAGCCAGCTGATGGTGAGACAGCTACGCAGTATGCTGCCCGACTTTGCCACTATTTCGACAGATGGATTGAACTTTCAGGGACAGCGCAGGAGTACGATGAGCTTAGAGAGCTGCTAATTAGAGAACAATTTCTTACTAGTTGCCACCCAAGCCTGTCACTGTACTTAAAAGAGAGGAAGGCTGACTCACTTGAAGACATGCTTGAATTGGCTGATCAATTCTTGGAAGCGCAAGGTGGCACTAATTTGGCCAAGGTAAAGAAGGAGTGCCCCGACGATTCGAAGAAATTGGCTCCCGAAGAAAAGAAGCGTGCACCAGAGAGCATTCCGCGATGTTTTCTGTGCAACCGAGTGGGTCATCGCGCGAAAAACTGTCGAACGATCTTTACGAGCCCTACGGTTGTAAAATGTTTTAAGTGTGGTCAGACTGGGCACAAAGCAGACGCTTGTCGGAACGGAGTGAGTCAAACTCACCAGGTATCTTGTGTGCAAGCGGCACCGAAATCTGATAATAATGCCGTCATTGATGGATTCGTAGAGTTGAAGAATGGGGAGAAAATTCCTATTGTGGGTGCTGTAATGTCAAAACAGCCAACCGGTGTTACGAAGGGAATGCCAACGCTTCCTGGAAAGATTGCAGGCAAGAAGATTACGGTTCTAAGAGACACCGGTAGCTCCACGGTTATCGTGAGGAGAAATTTGGTACGGGAAAGAGAGTTGACAGGCAGAACGAAACCGGTTTGCCTAATTGACCGTACGGTCCGGATGCTTCCCGAAGCAGAAATTGAGGTTGAAACCCCGTACTTCAGCGGGAAGGTTACTGCGTTATGCATGACGACCCCCCTGTATGACCTTGTCATCGGAAACATCGACGGGGCGCGAGGGCCAAGTGATCCGGAATGTTTGGGAGAAGACCCGAAGATAGAGCCCTCGCCAACACAGCGGCCGGGAGATACAGTGGAGGAGCATCCCTTGACGGATCTCACTAGAGCCCGAGGCGAAGCCGCGGCGCAAGAGACAGCGAAGGAGAAGACGATCGTGTCGAATAAGTTCACGGGCCGAGCAACCGGACTTACGTCGGGACAGTGTAAAGGAGACGGAGTTGGCCAGCCGGGCGAAATGTAGAGGCATGATCAAGCGGGTAAATGAACAGACAGGACCCGTCGAATGTAATGACCCGTTAACGGTGTCGGAAGTGACAACGATGGCTGAGACGCCGCCTCAGATATCGTCGTTGGAAAGGGCTCGCCGAAAAAGAACGTGGAAGCACAAGAAGAGATCGAGCGAGCACCGCAAAAAGGGGCGCAAGCGCTGCTCGAAGTACACAGGATAAGTGTTTAAGTCGAATCAGAATGTGTTGGGCAGTGCTGAGTGACATATGTTGTGTTAATGTTCTTGTTATCCTGTGTCTCAAGTGTATGTCGAGTGAGTCAGTGCTCTGTGCGGTGGTGTGATGTATAGTGTTGTATAATTGTTGTATAGACAGAACTTTGTACGTTTGTATTGTTTAGAATGTGTGATGAAGTGTTGTAGGCATGTACCTGTGGCTATATTTCATGTGTTGTAGAATTGAACTACAATGTACGATTGTATTGAGTGATATATTGTGAATGTGAAGTGTCATGAGCGACGGATTGTGTTAGTCTGTGAGAATGTGTGGTGACTGTTGCGCTCGTTTGTGTGGTTTTGAATATTATGAGATAATATTCTTAAAGTGGGGGGCAGTGTCACAGAACGAGCGCTAAAAAAAGAGCGCGCCGCCAAATCCTTGCGACAACGGGCGGCAGAAACGCCGCGAGGTAAAAAAGAAAAAAAAAGAAAGCAAACATCCAGGGCTCCCGGGCGCGCGCTCTCCCCGCAGAAGCACGGCTTCGCAGACGATCCTCCTCACCCCACATCGGCGGCCCAGCAAGACCGCGATTTTTCTCGAACGAAGGAGGCGGGGTCAGACCGAGTGAATCATCCTCGGGAGAGGGCAGTCGAACCGTCTCGTGCCTCTCCCCAGCCTTCGCTGCGTATCGCGCCGACGAAATGACGAGAAACATCTGGAAAGTCGCGCGCAAGGTATTTAACCGAGCAGCCGAGACGAGAAATCAGGAGGTGACGGAAGTTAACGCCAGAGCGCGTAGGAATTCCGCCGTGTAGTCGGCGAAGGTTCTGCCCGTAGTGACAGAACAGGAGGAGACGGAAGTTAACGCCAGAGCGCGTAGGAATTCCGCCGTGGAGTCGGCGAAGGTTCTGCCCGTAGTGACAGAACAGGAGGAGACGGAAGTGAGCGCCAGAGTGCGTAGAGAGTCCGCCGTGTAGTCGGCGAAGTTTTTGGTCCGCAGGGACGGCTCGAGCTACAGGCAAGAGTGTGTGTTTACCGCTATCGAGCGAAGACCCGTGGCAACCGCTGCGAGTGTGAAGCCGACGTGTTCCGGCGAAGAAGTTGAAGTTTGAAGAGTGGCCAATTGAAGACGGGAGGTTTCCTGGGAAAGAACTTCGAGAGCTGCGGAACGACAACAACGCTGGACTTTGAGTGAGTGATTCTCGGAAGAGTATCATTCAGACTTTTGTTCCAAGGACTTTGGACTGAATAGGTTTTATATCTCTTTAGTCTTTAAGTGTCTTGGTTGTTCAATGCATGCGACTGCATTGTAGTGCGTATTGTTGTCTGTGTCCGTTGTTTCAAGTGTGGTTGATTGTACTGTGTAGTACATTGTCTGTTTGGTGACGTATTGTATGTAACTATTGTGGAGTGTGCATACGTGTGTATTGTTTTTGATCTGCCGTTAATGAGAATATAATTTTGTTTGTTTATCAACTCTCGGCTCTGTCTTGTTCTTTGGGCCACAGCCGGCGTCCGCTGGCGCACCAATAAGGACCACTTCTAAATTGTCCACGCTTTCGTGGTGCGGTTCGGGGGGCCGACACTTCGGCTCTTGGAATTAGCCCGGCGATCGCCTCCCTAATAAACGGGACAGGTGTGACACCAAATCACTAAGGCGTTTATAGCGCAGTGGGTGGCTATGACCGCTACTTGCACTAGTTGCCTCAAGCGTTTCCCTATACGGAAGCCGCTACCCAAGCTTCCGCTGAGACAGTCTTGCGTTACTGCACAGGCCTGCCGTTTTTCTTCATTGACTTCACGTATGTTCCCGGTGTGATCCGAAACACCGTGCCATAAATAAAATACCCGACGTTCAACAAACGACCTCTAGAGATCATAGTGGCTTACTGTGGCGTTCGTACGAACTGTCAGGTGAAACGCAACTCCTCGTATTCTCTGCTTTCTTTCTCTTCGCCTAAAACTCTCTCCCTGCCTTTGTGTGTAGGGCAGCAAACCGGACAAGCTCCTGCTAGGCCTCCTGTATTTTATTTTGCCGGTTTCTTTCTGATCGTAATTTATTTATTATTATTTATTTCTGTTGTTCGCGCTGCCCCTGGTGGTGCTCTCAGGAACCACGTGCTCGGCATGACGTCCGGACTGCACGAGATCGGGAACATGCGTCTGGAGATAGCGCTCTACTTGTTCATCGCTTGGGCCACGGTGTACCTCGTCATCTGGCGGGGTCTCAGCCAAAGCGGAAAGGTAAACACGCAACGCATTTCCAAGAGTTCTACGCACAATTTTTACATGTTACTGTTGGATTAAGGTGGTATAAGCTGAGCTAGTTGGCAGGTGTCCACGATAAAAAATTTCGTGCTATGCTCACATCTATAGGACAGAAGAAACAATAAGGACAGGCGCTGAGTCTGAGTTGCAGTTTATTTTGATGAGTCTGTTTGATGAGGGCATGACATCCAGTTGTGTTGTGAAGCGACCTTTTGAAGAAGGTGACGTGCGCTCGCTTGTCACCTGTTCTCTCTTCGTTAGTGATGATGATGATGATGATGATGATTCCATAGACATGGCTCGTACCCACTCAGGGAGATCGGCCAAGAATCGATGAGTCAATTGAGTAAGATTTTTTTAGATGCGGAGCATCTTATACTCGCGCCTTGTAGTGCGCCGTCCGCGCCGTCCGCGCCGTCCGCGCCGTCCGCACCGCTTCTCGAACATTCGACAGCTGACGCGCGCGCATGCGCCGTCGCGCCGTCGCCCACTCTTCCACCATCTGTGCATCCCTTCCTCCTCTACACACCGCGCGTGCTTCACTACTCCACCATCTGTGCACCCTTCCTCCTCTACACACCGCGTTCGACATCTACAATTCTCCTGATTCTCCAGTGGACGCGCATGTGGCGTCGCGCTTCGAGAACATTCAACAGCTGACAGTGCATGCGCCGTCGTGCTGTATATATACTCAAGGTCGGCGCTCGCTCGCTCAGTTGCCGCTCGTCGATTGGTTTGTACGGCGCGTCGACGTCCAAGGTCGCGGTGAAATGAATTCCAACGAATCCACAAACACAATGATCGACGTCCCTTCGACCAGCGCCGCCCTTTCGCATACGTGTGTACGTGTTCACTCATTTAACACCCCCTCCTACAACCACGTTAACCAATTTAGCCATCGACCCAAGTAAGTCGCAATTTAACACCCCATTTCACAACCACGTTAACCAATTTAGCCATCGACCCAAGTAAGTCGCACTTTAACACCCCGTTAACCAATTATATGGTCCGCATCCTCCTCAGTGTTCCCCCGAGGGAAGCTGCGGGCAATTTTTTTAATATGGAAACCACCCACCAGAAAAAAAGAAAGAAAGAAAGTTAGTGAAGAATGTGCTTCTTTTTTTTTTCGTCTTCGTCATTGTTTTTTCTCTTCAAAATAAACTTCGTTTGATAGTCAGCGCATGCTCTCATCGTTTTTTACATCTTTTGTCCTACTCGTGAGCGCTACACGAACGTTTCATCGTGCGCTGTTGAGGTCGCACATGAATGCCCCGCTTACGACAGATAGGCTTCAATGCCATCATTCAAAGAAGGCCTACACCGCAGGGAACCTCACTTCGCTTCTCGGTTAAAGCAAACATCCTACTTCCTCTAGGCCAATTCCAGTACGAATGGAACAGCCTTTGAGAGAATGATGATGAGGATGATGTGTGCCTTTTACTGGTTCAAGGGCTGGTTACGAGCAAAGAGCGCCAAGACAAAGTGCAATGTATATGGAGTAATATGGTCAATGACTGTGATTGATTGTGACGTGGCTGTAAGAGAGCGAGTGTAAAAGAGATAAATGCAAAGTTATGATAATGACATGAAACATGTTCCATGATTAGGAAGTGTACTTTTCAAAAGCGTAGACAGCAAACATGAATTATTAACCATGCCACTGCCTGCGAAGTACCATCGTAAGCAAAGCTCGTCTATTCAAATAACACCTTGCTCCCAAAGCAGCATATTCTTGAAGAGTATGTGCTACAAGTCTTTGTTGTGAATAACCTGCGACGTTCTGGTGTCTTTCAAAAAGTTTAAAACTGGTGCATGATCTAAACCTGGGTCATTGCTTTAAAAGAAGAAGGAGTGATAGGCAATGTTATCGTGGTAGCGTTCACTGCAATGCCTTCATAGCACGAAAATGTTTTATGCCGAGGTCTACCAAGATTTCACATGATGTATTTCCACGACGGAAAGGCTGAGTGAAATACAGATTAGAAAGTAGAAATGGAAGAAAAGGTTCGTCTGTTAGGATTACCTGCGAGTCGAACTCACAATCTCTCTGCCCACGATAATAGGTACCGGGCACTTTAATCAGTTTGCTATTACGATGCCTGCTTGAAGGGGCCCTACAACACTTTTCCAAGTGACCATTGACTGGCTTCATGAACGAACTTTATTGCCTCATGGATCGACGACTGCAGATATTTTCATGATCTGTCAAGGCAAGTGGTGTTACAGATATTTGTCGCACGCTGTAATTGCTTTCATCTCTCGCCTCGACGAGCGCGCTGGGAGCTAAGCAGAAGGGGTGACACGAAAAAAAGAAGTTACGCCCAGCCGGCGCCACGAGCTTGAGCACTTTTTTCCCCCTCAGAGCGCATGACTACCTTCAGTGTAACCGCGGACGCGAGGCGGCCTCTTTCGGGAGCCACCGTAACTATGTAGCTCACGATGTTCAAATCAGCCATTGGCTGTGAACTTGTGTATATGGCGTGGTCATTTTGGTTTAAAGGAGGAGGGAGACCAAATTTCAAACCAGAGGTGTGGCGTTCATTCGATTGCTTGGCAAGCATGAGATTTTTCGGCGAAGTATGAATCACGTCTGTTACGTAGAAGCTATTCTATTTCGATCGCAAAGAGCGTCCAAGGCTCATCGATGCGTTTCCGGCCATGAGACATTAGACAGATTTATTTGCGCGTCCGCAGTATCCGTACGGACGTAACTTGCCAGCTATTCGCAATGGGAGGTTGCATCTATACGGCTGCTGTGGATGCGCAACTAAATCTGTCTATTGACGTAATTTTACGCGTTCAGCAGGCCACACGCCTCAGAAGCCGAGTGACGAGGAGGGAGCAGCAATGACGTCAACAATTTTAGTGCTGTCATCGTGGTGCCTACATGTGCTACCCTCTGGCGGCGGCGCCTGGCTGCCTAGCAATGGTTTCACTTGCTTTGTTTCACTTGATTCATTCAGCGCGTTCATGCGAATTTTGCGTTTTCTTTGTACCACTTCGCGTAGTTCGTTCTAGAGTGGTGAGCACAAATGTGATTATTTGGAGCTACGGTCATCGCGAACAAGTAACAAGCACGCAGAGTTCGTATGTCTTACCAGCCAGCGTGGTCCAAGGGTGCGTCTCCAGTTGTCTCGTCGCTGCTTGGTCCAGCGTCGATTTCAGAATAACTGCTCAGAAGAGGATCGAATGGAAACATTTCGCCACGCCGTGATTCGCCGCAATTCTATATTCTTCAGTGCTGCCATCCTTGCTTGTGAACGCTGATGACGGCGGCGACGACACTAGGGGTGGCGAAGACGTGCGCGCTGAGCAGACGAAATGTTAAGTCAAAATCGCGTCACCATTCAGTGTGGTCACGTGATCAGATGGGGTGGCCCTACTGGAAGTGACCACTTGGTGGTGGGCAGTGCTGAAAATTGGCGTGCTTCGCAGCCATCTTGAATTGGGTTCGATACTGGTCACACTAATCGATATTACCTATATTAAGTCGTCCCTCTGTTGCATTATTAGTACCAAATATAAGGGATCCATAACTACGTCTTGACGCAAAAAATGTGACATGCGTAATGTTGGTGTCACTGCTCCTTGAAAATATCATTTGCAGAGTGAAGAGGAAGCAATTTTTAGCTGACTTCGAGAACTAGTTATAAATTCCAGGCCGCGTGTTGCGCTTTAAAGTTTGGGTCGCGTGATCTCAGGAGCCTAGACTGCTGAGTGGCAGCATTTTCTGACAATACTAAAACGTGTTGCAGGGCTTCTATAAACTCTTCTAAACATCTTTCAGGCCTCATCCCTCTCAGGGTGCCCTTGGTGTCCATGGATGGTGTCACTGTCTGTGACCGGTGAAGTGAAGTACTACCTCACGATTCATGAGAATAACTAGCGCCGATATGGAGCGCTTTGGTAGAGTCGGCACAGTGGAGGCTGGCTCCTTAATTTCCACCCCCACTTCATTTCAAAAAAGTTTATTGTTACGTTAGTAGTCGGGATGTAGATGCGCCGCAAGGCGTCGACGTAGGTAAATCCACGTCAGTGTCAAATGGTGCCATAGTCATAGCCCTAGCCATAGTCATTTACCAACAAACATCATGCAAACACTCATTTATTAGTTCACAATAAGAATTCAACTTCGGCTGTTTAAAACGTTTTACTTCCATATTACATGAGTTCCAGCAACGCAGAGATCTGCCAGGTTTTCTAAAAAAACACGGCATATCCACGGAGTGAATAACGAAGAGTAAGGCGAAGCGTCCACCCGTCTATCTGTCCATGTGTTCATCCGTCCTTACATGCGCCCATGCGCCCGATCGCGTTCGAGAATGCAGACGGCGCGCGGGTAACACCGACGAGACGCGAGTCTAGGAAGTCTCTACACCCCCACCGCTCTGCTTCGTCCATGCCCCACCATCGATACGCTACGTACAGCGACTATCCAGGAAACTGAGAGAGGCACTCGTTCTCCACGTACCCAGGCACCGCCCGCGCAGCAGCCAATCGAAGAGTAGCGGTACAGCGCCATCTAGAATGTCCTCACTCAACTGCAGTTTGTATGTACTTCTATGAGACAGCGCCGTCTATTATACCATGCGGGAGGTACTGCCTTCTTTTCTTTCTTGTCTCTTCTTCTCTCGGTTACGCATGACAAGGTTAGACTAAGAGGAGCTTCGCCCCTGAAATGCCGCCCGCGTCTTCCCACGGGAGGAACTCGAGTAAACGCGTCGCAGAGTGGTGAGAGTATCGCGTTAACGTTGCGCGAATGGGCATAGTTATGGAATGCTTAATTGTTATTTCTTCTATATCATTCCTAATTCTTGAATAAAGGAGAAGTGTTGCCTTCAACGTTCAGCGAAATCCAAGTAAAGACACCCTTGACTAAATTCCTAACGAGTGATCCAGTGCCTACATATACAGAGTAGCCAGTGAATGGTCGCGCAGTGTGAACAGTAGCTTTTTTTTTTACTAGCAGACGCTGCATGCCTCCTCCTTGCGAGGCGAGAGTTGGGGATATAGTGAACTAGTGGGGGAGGACGTGAATGTTTCCCGGATGTCTTCCTGTGCCAGCACGAGACGTGATACGCGATCATGCACAGTAATGTAGGGAGCCTACATTAACAGGCGGCCATGTATAGGCTTCCTACAATAAGGCTGTGGAGGGCGCCGATGCCGAAGCGCGACATCATGCCACTGAGAAATGCTCCGCACCTAAAACTTGGCAAGAGTTAAGGAGAGCACTGAATCAGGCGCTCCACGTCACCCGAGTACCCATATTGCCTGTTCAGAATCACTTGGCACATATCCTCATTTCCTTGCAAATCAGCCAGTGGTCTGGAAATAAAACAGGATTCGTTCTGCGAAGACAAGTTCCTTGTTCTCTCATAATCATGGGACGTTTACAGATAAGGTAGCAGCTTTAGCAAAAGGAGAGAAATACCTTGCGCTACTGGTATGGCCAAAATACAAGAAGCGTGTATCTTAGTACTTTATAGAGTTCACACAGCAATGTACGTCTATAGAGCAGGGTCCCAATCTGGTTATTGTAAGCAGTATACTGAAACCTCTTGCACAGCTCTTCAAATCGGGTGGCTGACGAATTTACTACGTATGTTCTTTCTTTTGTATTCTGATTTCGCAAACTCTATAATAAAAGGCTAAGTACTGCATTGCCTCTCTATACGTTTAGTACAGCTTCAGGGTTCACCCACAGTGAAAAATTACTTCTGCGTAGTTTATAGGTATCTTCAAAAAAAAAAAAACTGCACGGCAGGACGCGACAAAAAGAAAAAAATTACGAAAACGAGCTCAGACTCACAACTAGTTTATTGGAAACCGTGTTTCGCTACCAGATCCCATACGCGTAGCGTTACTCTAGTGTTCGCGTACCTACTAGCCCAACTTTCTCCGCTTGTTACATGTTCTATTCTTGGACTGCGTGTTGAAACATCTTGTCTTCTTGAACCAACTTGTACCATAGCACGGAAAAAACAAAAAGGCACATCACAGGACAAACAAAAGCGCTAACTTTCAACAACCATTTCAGTCCTCCACTGTTTCTGCGTTGCCCTCGTTTGTTCTGCGTAATGCTGCAAGCCTGTTTGCAATGAACAACAAACCCATATAGGTACCCCGGTCGTCTCGTTGTTATGGTTCGGGCGATTTCGGAGTTGGTTTTCTCAGTGCCACCCAAGTGCTGCCACATTATTCTGAGCGTTTTATCGTGATAGGACTTCATGCAATGAGCGGGGACTGTCATGGATAGATTACCAGCGTTTTTGTGGACGGATCTAGCCAGCTTGTAAGCAAAATACGTGGTCTTCAATGTATCGGTGCCCTAAGACCCAGCACGCCTTCTCAGGCTACTTGGTAGCATAAGTGGTGCATAAACGAGAAGACACGTGTAAATAAGATTTTTATGTCTTACGGGAGTTTTCTATTATATTTCAGTGCTCACAGAATCTGTGTATATAACTGTTTTTTATTACCTTGATGTGCTTAACGTCAGACAAATTCACGTGAACTCCTGCTGCACAAATACTTGGATGGGGGTACAGGACACCAGCATCCGTAGAAGATGAACCAACCACTGCATAAGACGCCAAAATCAGAGCTCGATGCGTCAGTGTAGAACTTAGGGAGGAAGTTGAGGCTGCAATTCTATGAAGTACATCGGGATATGTGCTCAAGTCCGAGGCCAAGGGGGTTTGTTAAGTGCAATCACCCGGTTTACACTTAACCACCTGGATTCCATATTCCCCGGACAGATCCAGGCCGCGCACAAGCTGCTGCAGTAAATGGTTCGTGAAGGCGAACCGCGCGATTATCACGCGATTTTCCGATTATTTAATAGAAAAATTGCGATGGTCCGATAATGCTGCCTCATGCGGCCTTCGCGTATACGATGCCTATTTTCATTCCAGATTGTCTGGGTGTCGGCGCTGTTTCCCTACGTCTGCCTGCTCGTCCTGCTCGTGCGAGGCGTCACACTGAGTGGGGCGACCGACGGCCTCATGTTTTACATCAAGCCAGACTGGAGTAAACTGCTAATACCGAGAGTGAGCCCAGTTTCTTGACTAATCTTGAGCCGGTCTGGCAACTTGTAAGAACGCTGTGCTGGGAGGACTGTGAACGAGTTTCCGAGTCACTTCTCGAGCGTCCGTAATCGTAAATAACGATGCTCATAATTGAGTTTCTTCTCTCGCGGCGACACCCTTGCCTAAGAAGCACTGGAATCTCAGCGGAGGAAGTGAGTGAAAAGCAGGAGCTTCGTTCGAAAGACATTTTCTTTCTGAAAGTAGCCTTAAGGACTTCAGTACTTGTTTGTTTGTTTTAGAAGGTCTAAGGCAATATGCATAAGGGTGTGAACGAGGTAGCGGCCTGGGAGGGGGGGGGGGAGCAGGTGGGTATGTCCCTAAATAATTAAACAGGGGTGCTTAGTCTCATACATACCATTACTGACCTGTCATTGTTTATAGTGCAGCGTTGTGGCCAAATAGCTCCCAATTTCGCCTCCCAAGAACTGTTTACATCTCCCGTTTGCACCCGAAAAGTCGCGAACAAAAACCAGGCCGCTATGAAAGGTACGTCGCTGCCTAATTTTCATTTTTGAATCTGGTGCGAAGCTTGTCCGTAATCAGACTCGATCAGATTAAAGAGAGTGGGGGTGAAACGCCACCCTCTCCCTCCCTTAAGAAGAACCCTCCACGTGCACGACCACGGTAATATGCACGATGCGTTATAAGAGCAACATCCTTTACGGAACAGTGTAAAGCTAATGCAAATGAAGTGAAACTTCTGGCATCTATATAGCCAAAATATTAATGATCATAGGTCACCACGACTAGTAAAATGGTAGTAAAACACAGTAACAACACGTAAACGCGCAGTAACAAAATGAGATCTTCTTGATATCAGACCAAACTATACTCACGCTTGGGTAGAATGATGCCGCGTATACCAAGAGCACCTCATTACGCCAGTCCCGTGTTGTCTACGCACTGCACTGAAAATTTTTCTTCCAGGTGTGGATTGCTGCCGGTACACAGGTGTTCTACAGCTACGGAGTAGGCTTTGGCTCTCTGATGACACTTGGAAGTTACAATAGCTTCCATCAAAATTTCTTCAGGTTAGCATCCTCCGAAGGTCCTTGTTTAATATTGAGTTCATGTTCTCCTTGCAACGTCTGAGCCACTGTTTTTGTTTCCTTCACGCCCATCCTATCTTCTCCCGTGGATCTGCGGAATACATTACATATTGTATATGCGTGCTATTCTAATTCACGCGCCTCGAAATGATCGTTTTCCATAAAAGATCGATACTCATTGAGTGGAATGAACCATGGCAACGCCAGATACTTATGAGTGCAAGTGCAAAATTACGCCCTTCAGCCGTATGATATGCAACGCATACAAAAAAAGGCCGTCTTAAAGGCAAATTAACAGAACTTAGATACGGCTGACGTCTCCTCTTACGTCCCGAGAGAGCAAACAACCCAAGCTTCACTTGTGGATGATATCGCTTAACGTGTACTATACAGGTATATAAGTAGGGTGCTGCTTCTAAGCTCCAAACTAGCGTTCATCACACAATACGTTTGGCCATTGGATTTAAATACTTGACGTACGTGCATTCAAAAAGATATAATTACGTCAGAGTCTATGCACCTGCCACGCCTTAACTGTGAAGATTAGACACAACAAAAAAACCTCGCGGTTCTTTATAGTATCCACAAATATAAGGACTTATCAGTAAACTGACATATCAGATAAGGAACTGACACCAGGTGCCTACATTAAGAAACTATGGCAGAGTTATTCAATAAAAAGCATCAAATACCACTTTTATGATCTGCTACTTCATAAAATGTTTCTCGCTATATATTGAGAACGTCTGTACACAAACTACTAGGCTACTTTATCGATTCCGGAATGCTAGCTCTCTTGGTGGTTCAGTAAAGAAAAAAATGCTGCTTAAAAATGGCTCTTTCGCAATCGATACGTTAGAGGTTTGTTGTAATAATAAATGACGTTGTGCCTTACTGACGGCATCTCTGAAATCTAGTGGTCCTACTTAACGCACATTATACTGGGGTCATGCCTCTGATAATGCACTCCTATTTGACATTCGCCTTAAAGCCCACTACTTGTGTGGTCACTACCGCAGAGATTCAGCGATTGTTTGCATCGTGAACCCCATGACGAGCCTCCTGTCCGGAACAGTTATATTCTCCGTGCTTGGTCACATGGCCTTTCTGGCCGGCAAAACAGTGGGAGACGTCGCAAAATCTGGTGAGAGTCGTGGATTTTATTAACAGTTTCTGACTGGCCTGAACGCTGCAGTAGTGCCCAGTGACCTGCCTGCCACCTAGGTAGCCACTGATGGACAGGTGTATGTATATATATATATATATATATATATATATATATATATATATATATATATATATATATATATATATATATATATATATATATATATATATATATATATATATATATATATATATATAGGGAAAGAAGTGTATACCTAAGTGCTCGTTTTTACATGTTTTGACACAATATTAATGAGATATAACAGACAATAATGCCAAGGAATGTATAGGGAAAGTTATCAGAACTAATGTAATGTAAATAAGAAGAAAGAAAAATGGGTGAAAAACTAACTTGCCGTGAGCAGGAATCGAACCTACGACCTTCGAATAACGCGTTCGATGCTCTAACCACTGAGATATCACGGCGGCTATCTCCCAGCCAATTTATTGGGTTTATATGTGATTTTCAACGTGGGAGTGTCAGTCAGCGCCATCTGTAGCCGTAGCGGCGAGTGTGGAACACCCTTTTATGAGCCTGTGTGGCGTCACGTAGCATGCGAACTTAATACGAGCGGGCAGTTGACCAATAGTCCCTCGTACACAACCTAACGGCACCAAGTCTGCCATTGATTGATATGTGGGGTTTAACGTCCCAAAACCACTATATGATTATGAGAGACGGCGTAGTGGAGGGCTCCGGAAATTTAGACCAACTGGGGTTCTTTAACGTGCACCCAAATCTGAGCACACGGGCCTACAACATTTCCGCCTCCATCGGAAATGCAGCCGCCGACGCCGGGATTCGAACCCGCGCCCTGCGGGTCACCAAGTCTGCCAGTACGAGACCCTCGTTAATGAATAAAGGAAAGAAGTGTACACCTAAGGGCTCGTTTTTCCGTGTTTTGACACAATATTAATGAGATATAACAGACAATAATGCCAAGGATTGTATAGGGGAAGTTATTAGAATGTAATGTAACTAAGAAGAAAAAAAAGTGGGTGAAAAAATAACTTGCCGTGAACAGGAATCAAACCTATGACCTTTGAATAACGCGTTCGGTGCTCTAACCAATGATCTATCACGGCGGCTATCCCCCCAGCCACTTTATTGGGTTTATATGTGAATTTCAACGTGGGAGTGTCAGTCAGCGCCATCTGTAACCATAGCGGCGAGTGTGGAACACCCTTTTATGAGCCTCTTTGGCGTCACGTAGCACGTGAACTTATTACGAGCTTATTATTTCTTCTTATTTACATTACATTGGTTCTAATAACTTCCCTTATACATTCCTTGGCATTACTGTCTGTTAGATCTCATATATATATATATATATATATATATATATATATATATATATATATATATATATATATATGTGAGATGTGTGTGTGTGTGTTTGTGTACATTGAACGTTGTTAAATATTTCAACGTGATTTGTCGCTTCTCGATCAGCACGCCGCCAAACTAAATTCTACATGCTCAAATTGAAACACAGTTCTCTAATATTCTAATAAAGGAAATCAGCGCGCACGTGATATACGAGGGCGTTTGGCCATTAAAATTTTGTTCTTCACACACATATTTGTTTCTTTCCAGCTCATATAACCAATCGGGCTATATATGTTCCAAAGTTATTTCGGACATTGCTTTACTTCTCAATGTAATTTTTTTTCACTGAATTAAGTAACACAAGCTGTTCCGAAAATGTTACCAAGTAACGAAGGTATCGCCGTATAGTGTACCACCACAAATTCGTTATTCGCAACCTTCTCGCTGGCAATCCTCAGGACCTGGCCTGGCCTTCCTGGTGTATCCCGAAGTCGTCGCTCGAATGCCGGCCTCGACGATCTGGTCGATACTCTTCTTCGTCATGCTGCTCTTTCTCGGCATAAACAGCCAGGTACAGAGCCCATTGGATTTCTGTTTGATCCAAACGCCTTCCTTCGTGAGAAAACTGTGCGGGGAATCGGCTTCACGCGAAGTACAGGCTATTTCTGATAAGCTTCGCAAGGCATGAAGAAAAAAAAATGCGCACTATGCTTCACGAGTCAGTCCAGTATTGGTATAAGCCGATCGCAGCACGTCGTAAAACATTTTTGAAGTGTTAGATGACTCACGAAACACGAAATTCGACTTTCGGCGTCGGCAGCATCAACACAAGTGATGCGAAAAATCATCATCGTGAGATGACATCACAAAACTACGTAATCATCGCCGCTTGGTCAAAGGCGGGCCGATCACGGAGTCTACAGGGTCAAACTATGTGAAGTGCAGAAAGCTTTCACAGGGGGCGCGGAGGAGGGTTGACACATCTACTGTGAAGAAAAAAAAAAGAACGCAGCTTTTGCTTCGGGTTGTCTTTAGCAAATTCTTAGGGACGCCTGTGTTCCCAGTGCAAGCTGGATAAAAAAGAGTTGTTTAAATACTATTGTAATGAGTAACTCTTGCTATTCATCTTCCAATTCGAAAGTTGTGCTACTTTTTAGGAAACGTCCGAATATTTCATGCATGCAAACTTCCCTCAGACAGACAGAGAGACAGACAGGCAGACAGGCAGACAGACAGCCAGACAGATGATAATGACATCTTGGGGGACTAGCCTGGAAGGATTCGCTGGGGCCCTCGGCTCGCCACTGGATTCCGACATGAGAGCAGCCCTCCCATGTCGGAATCAGGAGGCCATGCCTCTCCGCTCTTTCACGGGCTCTCTGGACATCCGTTGACTAGATTTTTAGTGCAGTGCTTGCTAGTGTGTGACGTGTCCCGTAACGCAGAACACAGCCAGAGCATGTGCGTTATAGTGCTAAATGCGTCTCCACAATCTGGGCACTGTGGGTCGATATTGCTGTTGATCCGACTAAGCAAGCCTCTCGGGGGATAAGACTTCGTCTGAAGCATCCTAAGGGTGATTGCTTGAGCTCAGCATAGTTTTAAGTGTGTACGCAGCAAGCTCCTGCGTTCCTCTTTAGAGTCACAGACATCTCGTGAAAGGTTATTAAGGGATCTCTGTGACTGACTTCCTCCGAATTCATTGACGCCTTTTCACCGTTGCGGTGCGTGAGTTCTCTAGCACGGCGATGAGCAATCTCAATGGCATTCGATGACCCGGTAGCGCTTCATCGCCCATGAGCAGGAAATTACGTGATTAATTCACGGATCTAGAATTAGTGGTTGTCTTGCTTTCCGGAAATGCTACCCACTATCTAGTAACCATTTCTAAGGCACAGGTCCTAATGGCTGCGCAGGAGTCAGTGTAAATATACGGCGGTTTATGATCCTGCATCGCCAGTACTGCACCGCCACATGCTCTGCCACGTCAACCATTGTGGCGGCTACCGAGGTCGCATATAAGAGCTCGCCCTGTTCGCTGACGGCTGTGACGGTGAATTGACTGGAGCACCCGTACTGAGCTGGCAGGAGCCCTTGCTGGGAGCTGCTCAGCCGCCCACATTGTGCTGTGAGCACACATTTTTGGGGAAGAGAACAACAGCGTACGTCTCTGTTGACTTCTCATCCAGCTGAACAGCCTCATTTTGACTGTAATGTAAACGCGCCGCCTCCAAGACGTGCCTACCTGAGTTGGAGCCTGAGAACTTTTGACACTTTTTCGCATCCGCGTATCGAGCTTGTCCCTTTCGGTTATAGTCCACTGCAAGGCCCATGAGAAATGCGTGGTGTGCCCTAAGTAGGCTGTCTTCGCCTAGCCCCTCTTTTCTGTCGGAGACTCTTACGATGAGTCTGAGAATCATCTCAGTTATAGAGGTTTAGGCATTACAGCCTCTGTAATCGAGCAAACATCCCGAGAATTCTGATCAAATTTAGCGTGGGGGTCTTCTGACTATCACGTGTGTAGAAGTCTATGGTGATCTAGTCGAGCGACACGGGCGTCTGAACTCCCTGCCTTGCTGGTCTGTATAACATGAGCTCCGACTTGGATATGGAAAGTCGGAGACCTGTTCCCCCCAGTTAGGACTCAGTCACGTCCAAGGCCTCCTGAAGCCCCTCCCCTGTTCCACTGCCACCTCCGGGCCTTCCGAGCTTCAGATCGCAATATTGTCCGACTACAGCGCGTGTCCTACATTCGAAACAGCGGTCAGTGGCTTCCCTGTTTAAATACTTCCAGCCTTTCTTTAGCGTGTGTTCCAAGTCATATACGCGTGCTCTTTGTCCCTCGCATGACTTCGAAATACTTAATTACCGCCGCAAAGCTTCCACGTTATGCCGCTCTCTACTGATCGCACACGTATATGTTCTGTCGTCTGATTTTGCAGTTTTGTCCGTTGGAAGCGATAGCGGCTGGTCTGATTGACCAATGGCCACGGCTGGTCACCAAACGGAGGGTCATAAACTTCTGTTTGGTTTTGGTCCACTTCCTCCTTGGTCTTCCCATGACAACCGAGGTAAGTATTCATTGTCGACTTTTCGCTCCGGATAGCTATTATCCGCATAGCGTCCTCATACGGAAACGCGGCTTACTTTTGTCATTTCTGTGCACTATTGGCGGGGAGAGACTGCAGGCACTGCGATAATGGTAAATTAAAGGAGGCGTGCGACAATTTTTCAAGCAATCACCAAATGACTTCATTAAAACAGCTTATTCTCCCGCTAAATGACTGGTGCAAATATTTTGAGAGCCCGTAAAGAATAAAGGTTACAAGAATTTGCCACACGTTTCAAGTGCTTTCCCTCTTCTTTCGTGCCAGTGAGCACGCTGAAAGCTAATCAGGGAGGATATGACAACGGGGTTGTGTACGGATAGACATATCTTTATGTCAGCAGATTAAACCTGCAGCAGAATCCTGTAGATTAGCGGCTGGGCCTATGCTACACGGGTGGTCGCGGTAAGGTTTAGCCTTTCCGCCACTTCCCGGGCCTGCCAGATAGCCTAAACATGGTCTTCAAGTTCTGAGCTAGCCAGAGCGTCGTGCCAACACGTTTCAAGGAGGTCCGGGCAGTGTGTGGGCATTTCAAAGACGGTAGTCTTTCTTGGGGTCCTTCGACGCAAAAACTTTGGTATGTATGTATGTATATGTATGTATGTATGTATGTATGTATGTATGTATGTATGTATGTATGTATGTATGTATGTATGTATGTATGTATGTATGTATGTATGTATGTATGTATGTATGTATGTATGTATGTATGTGTGTGTGTGTGTGTATGTATGTATGTATGTATGTATGTATGTATGTATGTATGTATGTATGTATGTATGTATGTATGTATGTATGTATGTATGTATGTATGTATGTATGTATGTATGTATGTATGTATGTATGTATGTATGTATGTATGTATGTATGTATGTACATTTGTCTGTTTGTCCGCCCTTAACGGTACCCCAAACGGCACCAAAGTGGCCAAACGATACTCTAAACGGCCGACCCCATCCGCAGCACCCACCAATATTGCCCAAGGTTCAGCGTTCATACTTGTGCGATTGTCAATTAAAATTAAATTGCACATATCTCAGGCATCATAACAACTCGTCAATATTCTGTATGTGTGTCTCTTACTAGAAAAGGCATACATAATTCTAAGGGCCATAGCGTTTATCACGTTGCACGAACCATGCAACGCTTGCACGAAAAGGGAAGCGTTTTCAACACTGTGCTAAGACTACACGGTGGTGGCACCTATTCGTCGTCTTGCATTCTACCCCTTATCACCTCCGAGACTTGCGCGCACGCTTCGTTTTCCAAGATAACTGCCAGACAGCGCTCATGTCTCACGTGTGACGTGACTTGATGCGCTCGTTCGCCTCCGTTATAGTGCCTAGAATTATACTTCTTGGCACCATACCTCCGCTGCACGCTCAAGGCTCTCTAACGCAGCGCCTCCAGAATACCATTCACCAATTTTCTTGCACAGAACATCAAATAAACGTTTTGTTCACTCTCTCCAGACGCAAGACTATCGTCTTTCGACGACATTTGCAGTGTAATATGCAGATACGGGGCCGATTTTTATGGCATATCTTCTGTGTGTGCGTACTAGTGTTTACATTGGATACAGCCAGCATCGGGAAGTTGCCTGGGGTGCAGCGGCTGAAGCACACTGGATTTTTAAATGTTCTCGTTTGTAGACGTCTCCAGTCTACTTCTTATGACCTATCTAGCTTAATGTGGGGTTGGGAATGTATCTGCGATTGTTTCTTGTAATGGGTCAATATTTCGTGGAAGATGAGAAGCTGATCATTATTATCCTAAGTTAGGTAGGTCCCCTTGGGGTGACCTTGATCACTTTATATCTCTCCTTTTTTTTTCTTTGAACGTGTGACTTACTTTTTTTTGTGATCACTATAGGGAGCCAGTGGACAAGGGGCGGTATCTCATGGCAGCCGCGGTAACTACGCAGCTCGCGATGCTCACGTCAGCCAATGGCCATGCACTTTGGGTTTATGCCGCGGTCATTTGGTTATATGACATCACTTGTAGAGAGAGGAGGGAGCGATCGCTAGCTAGCTTTGAGAATTTATTGTAAATTTTAGGCTTCATACGGCGCTGTAATATTCGGCTTGCGTGATCTCTGGAGCCTCGACTGCCTATCAGCATCCTTTTTTTTTTACCGTGCTGAAAAAGTGTTGTGGACCCCTTTAAGCATTCTTGTTACGAAACGTTCTCTCATAACACTTCTGGCTGAAATATTTTGCTACAGAGGATCGCTTTCGTTGAGGCAGCACCACACCTAACGAAATGTTGGGCGTGGGGAGTCGGGTAAGAGTTTCAAAATGCGTTTTTCACTTTATCAAGAATGTTTGCCGCCCCCAGATAAGAATTGTCTTTAATTTGAGTTGGTCGTTCAATTCACTTTATGCAAATTTATACCATATGACCGACTAAACAATGATGAAATAATTATTCACATTGTAGTTGCAATTATTTTGGTAAACACACTGCAGCTTTTTCTATCACATCTACTCATGATGAAGTTTTGTTCGCAATAACTTTGGCATCATATTTTGTAAATTTCATCAAATTATAGACAGCCAATAGTAAAGGGCATCGCAAAGGGATAAAAAAAATCGGCCCCTGTCTGCATGTTACAGTGCAAATGTCGTCGGAAGACGATAGTCTTGCGTCTAGAGAGAGTGAACAAAACGTTTATTTGATGTTCTGCGAAAGAAAATCGCTTAATGGTATTCTGGAGGCGCTCCGTTAGAGTGCCTTGATCGTGCAGCGGAGGCGAACGAGCGCATCAAGTCACGTCACACGTGAGACATGAGCGCTATCTGGCAGTTATCTTGGAAAACGAAGCGCGCGCGCGCCTTGCGCGCCAGTCTCGGAGGTGATAAGGTGTAGAACGCAAGGCGATGGGTAGGTGCCACCTCCGTGTCGTGTTACCAAAGCGTTGGAAACACTTGCCTTTTCGTGCAAGTGTTGCATGGTCAGCGCAACGTAATAAACGCTATGGTCCTTAGAATTACTTATGTATGACTTTTCTAGAAAGAGACACACATACACAATATTGACGTATTGCTATGGTGCCTCAGATATGCGCAATAATTGCTTTTTAATTGACAATCGCACAAGTATGAACGCTGAACCTTGAGCAATATTGGTGGACGCTGTGGATGGGGTCGGCCATTTGGAGTAGCGTTTGGCCACTTTGGTGCCGTTTAGGGTACCGTTAAAGGTTGACAAACGGACATTGCGGACAAACGGACATTGGCAAATTTTTGCGCCAAAGGTTGTCCCCCCCCACCTAGAAAAAAAATACCGTCTTTAAAAATGAGGATATACAACACAGGGATCGTCTTACATGAATAAAACTATAAATTCATGTTGTTCTCAGCTGAGTGCATAAACATCCAACAATTATGTGTAATTGCGTTGCTAGGTACGAGTAATACGTAAGTAATTATCGTTTCCTTAATAAGCTATACAGTAATTAGGGCTATGTATGCAGCTATAAGAATAATCAAAATTAAATGCTCTCAGTAGCACAGTATTTCGTGCTTAATTTCTTTGCTTCTGCAAATTTTGTAGCCACTTCGACGGACGTTTGAACCGACCACTAGGCACCTCCCTAACTGTCCTCTAAAACTTCTACTAGAACATTAAAGAAAAAAGAAATACTTTCTATGCCATTAAGTTGTGGATTCGTAATGTGTTTAAATTACTTTCTTTCTGTTAAAATTTCAGGGTGGAATGTACATTTTCCAGTTAATGGACTACTACGCTATCAGCGGCATCACGCTGCTGTTCATTGTGTTTTTTCAAGCAGTAGCACTTGCTTGGGTCTACGGTAAGCCCCTATTTACGGTCAAGCACCGTATTTTTACCTTACAAGTACCGTACGTGATTGCTAGATAGCGTTTGTCCGGCCCAGGCACAAGCATCAAAGATATAAGGGCTATTATACTACACATCTAAGTGCGTACGAAAGCGTTTCCAGGCTCACAAGCCTCGTTTGCCATTGTAGAAGAATTGACAAGAGTCCATGGAAATAGTTCATACAAGCCCTTGGAAATAATTGCAGTTTCTCTTTTTTTAGTTTGGATTCGAATTAGATTAGAACTACAATAACAAAATACAATTATTTAGACTTTTATATAAAATCCCATACTTTATTCTTCAAACGTGAAGACATAAATGTCTCGTATAAAGAGGCAGTACAAACGAAAACAGTTAACTATAAATAGGAACTCATTTAGAACCGTGTTAGCGATGTGTAAGTTATTATATTTATGTGTTATGTAAAACGACTCGCAACAGCAGTGCTCTGGTTGAGGCTTGAGTCTTGCTGCGCAGGAACAAGAAACTTATGCGACAACATCAAGGAAATGATCGGCCGCCGACCAATCCTGCTGCTGCGTTTGGGCTGGAAGGTGTTCATACCGGCCATGTGTGTGGTACGTGACGAGTGATTGATTAAACTTGCACGAATCGGCTCGATAACCAGTAAAAACTGTGCGAACTTTCTAGGAAGGCTTCAAAGTGAGAGAAGCTAGAAAACCTTTAGTATAAAGCCTGGAGAGTAACTGAGCCACTGGCCAGGTGCACTACATAAGATGATTAGGATTATCGTTGGGACAAGAATAAAAAGAAATCAACAGCAAGAAGGCAGTGGCATAAAACATTATAGAAGCTATACTTTAGAAAAATACGTGATTTGTATAGAAATACCGTGCCAGACAGGTACCTGTCTTTCTGACGACCTGTATGACGAGGGGACACATTTTGCTGCTGCTAAACTTATACTGGAACAAGTAATTAGGAAAAGCTTGATCACTGACTTCTTGATTATCAACTTGAGGGCAGCTGTTTAGGCGGAAATATCATAGGCCGTCCAAATATATGAGATACCAGTTTTCTTTGATGTCCTAAAGATCTCATGCTATTTCAGGTGTTCCTCAAGAAACTTCGAAGCCATATGATATTGAATGTAAGTGAGCCAAGTGCGCAGAACAGGGGTCGCATTGTCGTGATTTATTTACACGTGGTTATTCAAAAGTTGCCTTAATGCTGCACGGAGAAAATTCGCCGAGTCGTCATCTTCGCCTCCTTGTTGAGAAGTTGTTGCACTTTAACTGCGGTGCTCTTTCATCACATCATCAACAGACCGGATAGCGCTAGTCACTGAAGCCTAAGTGGGACTAACCAGACTTAGCACTTCTACACGTGCTAAACAGACCAAATGTTTTTTTAAGCTGGACACAGATAAGAAAGATGGACGATTGCATACGGAGCCTACCACCCCATTTAGTGATTAGTGGCATGAAACTTTGTTATTGTTACTGGAGAACTGTATACGAGCAATCTGTCTTCTGTTTATTTCATGTCGCTCAACCAATATACTCTTGTGATCAGGCACAAGAAACGGGCCTTGTGAAGACTCATCATCATTCTAACATCGCTGCCTTCTCACCCTCCTGCAGGCTATATTCCTGTCCTCTGTGATCAGGTACCAACCGCTGGTGTACGCTAAGACATACGCGTATCCATGGTGGGCGGAGATGTTGGGATGGTTCACTTCCCTCTCATCCATCATCATGATTCCTACATATATGGTGTACTTCCTCGTACGAACACCCGGCTCCCTACGACAGGTAAGTCAGCGTCAATAAACGTTGATCTCATGATTGTTAGATTCGAGTCGAGCCCAAAAAGGTTTCCCGCTGAATTATTTTGCACACTGAAAAGACAGTCACAGCACCTTTAAGGTGCAACGTATGTACGCCTTCTGCAATTTTCTGCCCCTCATGCTTACCTAAGTTTTGCTGTGGCATGCTAATGCTTAGAGAAGTTCCTATGAAGTGACTTACAAAACATTCTGATGCGTTTTCCTTTTTTGTCTTTTTTGTGTTGTTACTTTTTTAAATTTATTCTTCTTGTAAAGGGGGGTTTATTGATGGACTGAGCAAGCGGGTGGTAGCTCTAAAGGAACGCAGGCAGACCCAGATGACGGTGCTTGATCGCCGATCTTGTGCCTTTTTCTTGTGCTGATGATAGCTGACCTGATGGTATCAACGTCTTTCTTATTCACTGCAATTACCCCCGGCGAAAAAGTTGAAGCCATCCTGGCGATCTAACACGTGGGGACAAGCGGGTCAAAGTACGGCTTCAGACGGTTTACGTGAACGATATCACGTCCACGCCGACGACGGTCGCTCGGTGGCGTGAGGGGTTCAATGGCGTAGTTCACGGGTGAAGTACGCTCGACCACGCGGTAGGGACCATGATAATTAGAGAGTAGCTTGGGTGATACACCAGGGGCGCAGGGCGGTACATGAAGCCATACAAGTGCTCCAGGAATGAACGTTGGTGCAGAACGATGGTCATCGTCACGGATCTCCTTCTGGCGCTGTTGGTCGGATGTAGTAAGCCGCTTGGCTAGCTTGCGGCACTCTTCTGCGTAACAAGCGGTTTCCGAGACAGGCTTGTATTCGGAGGGATCTGGCGAGTATGGCAGTAAAGTGTCGATGGTGTTCGATGGTTCGCGACCGTACAGGAGAAAAAATGGGGAAAACCCGGTAGTGACTTGCGTAGCGGTGTTATACGCGTATGTCACAAATGGGAGAACGAGGTCCCAGTTTGTTTGATCAGAAGCGACATGCGTAGCGAGCATGTCCCCCAGAGTACGATTAAACCGCTCAGTCAAGCCGTTCGTCTGTGGGTGGTAGGCTGTACTCTTCCGGTGAACAATATGGCACTGTTGAAGAAGTGCTTGTATTACATCGGAGAGGAAAACACGCCCTCGATCACTGAGGAGTTCTCGAGGAGGACCATGACGAAGCACAAAACGATTGAGTATGAAAGTTGCGACGTCTTGTGCTGCAGCTGTGGGGAGAGCAGCAGTTTCAGCGTACCGTGTTAGATGATCCACTGCCACGATAGCCCATCGGTTGCCTGCCGTTGTTAATGGTAGTGGTCCGTAGAGGTCAATTCCTACTCGGTCGAATGGGTGGTCTGGGCATGGAAGTGGCTGCAATGAACCTGTTGCAGGATGTGGCGGGCTTTTCCGCCGCTGACATTCGTGGCAGCCGCGAATGAACTGGCGGACGAAGGTAAACATTCCGCGCCAGTAATACCTTTTTCGTAGGCGCTCGTAGGTCTTGAAAACACCGGCGTGAGCACATTGCGGGTCGGAATGAAACGACGCGCAGATGGTAGAGCGCAGCGTTCGGGGAATGACTAGTAGCCATTTCCTACCATCTGCTGAATAGCTGCGCCGGTACAAAAGGCCATCCCGAATACTGAAGTGCGGAGCCTGGCGGCACAGGGTTCGAGTGGTTGGAAGTGTCGGTGCCTCGGATAACGCGTCAAGAAGCGAAGCGATCCATGGGTCATTGCGTTGTGCAGAAGAGATGGTGTCCTCGTCAAGCGCTGACAACGTGTTGTCCGAGGAAACAGATGCGATGTCCGGGGATAGCGGAGATCGCGACAGTGCATCAGCATCGGCATGCTTGTGGCCGGAACGATATACCACGCGAATGTCATATTCTTGAAGCCGAAGAGCCCAACGGGCAAGACGACCCGATGGGTCCTTAAGCGAAGATAACCAGCATAATGCGTGGTGGTCCGTCACTACATCAAAAGCACGGTCACAAAGGTATGGGCGGAACTTGACAAGTGCCCAAACGATCGCCAAGCATTCCTTCTCGGTGACGCTGTAGTTTGATTCCGTCTTGGTAAGAGTTCTGCTGGCGTAGGCGACGACATACTCGGCGAATCCAGGCTTGCGTTGCGCGAGAACCGCACCGAGGCCGACACCACTGGCGTCGGTGTGGACCTCAGTTGCTGCCGTAGGATCGTAGTGACGCAGTATTGGTGGCAAAGTGAGGAGACGACGAAGGGTACAGAAGGCTTGGTCACACTCAGAAGACCATGACGAAATATCATTGGTGCTGCCTATAAGTTCGGTCAAAGGCGCAATGATAGAGGCGAAGTTGCGCACGAACCGGCGAAAGTAGGAGCATAACCCCACGAAGCTCCGTAACTGCTTCATAGTCGTGGTTTGGGGAAGTCGGCGACAGCACGTAACTTAGCCGGGTCTGGAAGTATACCGTCCTTTGATACGACGTGCCCGAGAATCGTAAGTTGCCGAGCAGCGAAGTGACACTTCTTGAGGTTGAGTTGGAGCTGAGCATTCATCAGGCACGTGAGGACGTGTTTGAGGCGCTCGAGATGTGTTCCAAAGTCTGGCGCAAAGACGACTATATCGTCGAGATAGCAGAAACAGATTTGCCATTTCAAACCCCGAAGAACCGAGTCCATCATGCGCTCGAAGGTTTCTTATTCACTACATTCCTAATTAACCTCTCGACCGCTTGAATACGGGTGGTGCCATAGAGGACCGAGAAAATGCTATTCTTACTTCAGTATTTTTATAGAGCAAATACAGGCTCTCATTCTCTCTATAATTTTTCCTTTCTTATCTTGCGTCTATTTTTACCGCAGAGAATCCGAGCGGGCTTGTCTCCACAGCTGCTGGAAGTTTATCATTCGTAGGAAGAAACGTGCTCCCTTAGCGACGCAGCCGTCCACACATGATGTATCTGACCGTATGTATCGGCCGCCGTCAACACCTTCCCGCACGGTTCAGTGCCTCACCATCTTCCGTGCCTCATCCATGCCAAATGACGTCTGCGAATTGTGTCAGCCATTTTTCTGTATGCAACATGTATAGTGTATGTATGCTCGTGTTTGTATGTGGTCGTAGCGTGCCGGACCGCGAAGACCACCAGTGTATACGGGTTTCAGTTGTGTCGAAAACTAAATCGTAATACTTTCATACTTGTGAATGTGCTAACGCTTTTCTGTACCAGCCGACACTGTGGTCCCTGTACTTTTTTTTTGTTACGTTGTAGTATTAAGATTAATGGTGAAAGAGTGGAATGGTTCCGTCAGCGAAGAACGCGCCTTAATATCAGTTCCCCCTTGTCGTCTACATACATTGCGGACGCATGACCCACGGCTTAAGGAGCTTCGCCCCTAAAAACTATGAGCCATCTCCTTGAAGGGAACCCTGATGGGATGCGAAGCAGCAGCGGTGCGCACGGTGTTGACCCGGTTGAAACGGGCGTCGACGCGGTGCTAGAAGAATGGTTTGAAGTGAAACTCGGTGTAGCGTTTACTCTACATTTGTTTGAAACGCAAAGACACAGGAGGCGGGAAGCGTTGAAGATGCTTGCGCTCGGCTTCCTTGGCTCACGTCTCGTCGGTGTTACCCACGCGCCGTCTGTATTCTTCAACGCGATCGGTGTTCTTGACTTGCACCTAATCGGTGTCACTGGTCTTCCACTGCCGTCGCTTGCTTTCGGCTTCCCTGGCTCGCGCCTCATCGGTGTTGACGTCGCCATTCGCGAACGTTATCGGCTTCGCTAACCCTCACAACGCAGGCGACAGCCGAGTAAAGTACAGGCACACTAGCGGGAAGCACGCTGCGACGGCGTCCCGCCCGTCGGCGCGATCACGCGGTAAGCAGCGGTGCGCTGTCCACGTTGTCGGCGCCGCGAAATTCTCGAGGCGCGTGCAGCGCGCGCACCCGCCGGCTCGCGGCTTCTCGCTGACAGTTGGAGAGGTGGCGTGGGTGAGATAATGCCCACGTGAGGAGTGAGTTCGAGAGTGGCGAATGATGGAGAGGGTGGAACGAGAGAGATGACAGGCGGCGAGCGGCGACAGGCCTGGAGAGAGACTCGGTTACGTTAACGCAGGCGCACTGCGAGGGAAGGCGTGGCCTACTTGGCACTGCCCCAACACCTGCGACCAAGGGAGCGCGGTGTGGCCGAAGAGACAGCGTTACACAGGCTAGTGAAAGAGCTGCTTCGCGCACTCCAAGCCGCGCATGAGCACCTTTTGTGGTAATGGGGCGTCATGGAAATGACCGGGAGAATATTCTGCCACAAGTTATCACCCTATACGTTGATAGTTAGGCTAATGATGATGACCACGATATTGGTTGTCCCCTTTTCTGGATTATTATTTCGACAAATCGAATAAACACAACGACTTGCTTTTCCTTGTCTTTCTCTCGGGGTGTTATTCAAGACACTGTCAAATTCCACCATGTTGTCCATTACGCCATTGATCAATGCTGATTGGCCAGTGGATTGCTGCGGCCTCTCTGACTGACCAAAAATGCCATCATTATGAAATGCGACAATACGATGGAATTGAACAGTATCCAGAATAGCACCCCCGCTTCATTATCGGTTTGTTTGTAGAGAAATCCCCAACAAGGAGGAAACCTCCAAGATTATATTATTTTTCTACCTCATTACTCGCTTTTTTCATAGCATATGTGATTTTGCACATAGTCTTATATTTCATTGTATTTTTTGTCCTACCATGCGTTGTATAGGTGGTCCCGTGTGTCAACTTCTCCCAAAAATGTGTCGACTTCTTGCAAGTTGTATAAGTTAAGGGTAACGTTGGAGAGACTAACATGAGGATTCATTGAATTCCCTCCCACGCAACATTTTATAGTTCGAAGCCCACAGCTTTGACGTCTTCGTAGCGCTGTGGTCTTTGTATGTTGTATACGGTGGATCGCTTTGGTTTGTACATTTTTGAGCTTTTCGCGTCTCCAAGGGTTATTAAAGAAATAACATGCATTGATGTGCACATAACAGCCCACAATATAATAAATAAATAAATGAATGGTCCTCGAGCAACATCTTCTTGTCACTCCTGTAATATGGACGTGATGTGTCACAGGCTCTGCTGCAACTCCAGTGCCTAAGGGGTGGAAAGTAACGCTTCCTGCATACGCGAAAGATCGGTTATTTAGTTGTTCAAGCTACCTCCTTCCACAACCTTTCATTACTACTATTGAACTAACTTTGTATAGAAGTCAACGAGTGGCATTCATTCCTGAAAACTGCTTAGAAGGCTTCAAACAGCACTGGCGCGATGAGACATTGTTGAATCTATAGAGTGCACGTACAGACAGAAACATTAGCCTTCGTTACAATGTTTATACGTTGATTCTCAAAGCATAGAAGTTCGAGTTAAAATCCCAGACAGTCACGGACACGACACGGTTGTACAAACTCTAGAGACGGAGACTCGCTGAAACCGAGCATTCGCACATCTCGTAGATGTACGGGCACGTCATCGTTGGCATAGGCCTTGCGTGGCTTCGGAGTCTTCTCGCATCCACAGTTGCCTATCGCGTTCCTTAGTATTCTACAGTTGCACGTACTCGGGGTCTGAGGCTCGCCGCCGTCGCAGCAGTTGGGCTACCTATTGCCTGCGTGGACCTGTGGTGGGTATAGTGAGGTTCACCAAATTTTGAGGTACACACCCGTTTATGACGACGAGAGTTTTCGCGTAGGCCACTCGGAAGGTACCCGTAGGCCACACAAATTACGACTAGCCTTAACAGCTTCGGCGTTAAAGGACAAAGAGGAGGACGGAGGGAGGCATTGTAGATTGAAACGAGGGTGCGGCAAAGGGAGGATCGGCGCCGTGCAGTAACGGATACACTTGGGAAAGAAGCAGCGAGAGAAGCACTAGTGCACACACACACACGCACAAAATATTAGACTGGCAAAAAAATATATGTTCACGTTCGCCAGCACCCAATCGAATGATCGGGTAGACTTACCAAACGTTCGCCGCCATGTTTACTGGCACTTCCTCTCAGACCGGTATATGCCCCGCTTTGCGGCGCACGCACTGCTTATCAGAAGGAACGCTAGTGCGTGTACAAGCACGCACTACGGCCGCGCAAGCAGCGCAAGACAATACGCTGCGAAAACTCCTACACAGAACGAAAAAATACGCGAGGCGTGGCGCTGCTTCGTGATTGTTGAAGCCGAGCACGCCAATCATTTCTGGGGACTTGACCATCAACTACTTTTAGCCGCATGTGCACTGTCAACACTAGAACAGCACAGCAGAAGGAACGGTCTCGTGTGTTGTTGTGTATAAATTGCAGCCATTACAAAAAAAGAAAAAAAAACTGGAGCATTGATACAATCAAGGTAATGGGGGCACTTGGCTTGGGCGTGCCTGACGTACGGCTTTGCTCATTTTCTTTTTAAAGACGATAGTCTTTCTTGGGGACTTTCGACGCAAAAATTTTGGTCTGTCTGTTAATTGTCTGTTTGTCCACTCTTAACGGTATACATCGGGCATTTTAAACGGCACTAGCGGATACACCAAACGGCCGACCCCACCTGCAGTGCGCACCAATGTTGCTCAAGATTCAGCGTTCCTATTTGTGCGATTGTCAATTAAAAAGCAATTATCGCGCACATCTGAAGCATCATAACAACACGTATATATTCTGTATGTGCGTATTTTACTAGAAAAGGCATACGTAAGGTATTCTAAGGACCGCAGCGTTTATCACGCTGCGCTGACCATGCAACGCTTGCACGAAAATGGAAGTGTTTCCAACGCTTTGCTAAGACGACACGGTGGTGGCACCTACCCGTCGCCTTGCGTTCTACACCTTATCACCTCTGAGACGGGCGCGCGCGCCCGTCTCAGAGCCGCGCGTTTCGTTTTCCAAGATAACTGCCAGATATCACTCATGTATCACGTGTGACGTGACTTGGTGCACTCGTTCGCCTCCGCTGCACGCTGCACGCTAACGCAGCGCCTCCAGAATACCATTCACCGATTTTTTTGCGCAGAACATGAAATAAACGTTTTGTCCAATCTCTCCAGGCGCAATACTGTCGTATTTCGACGACATGTGCAGATTACATGCAGATACTGGGTACTTTTTTTTTTTCATTACGCGACGCTCTCTCCTCACGCAAGCATTGATTTGTTATATGTATCGGCCGTACCCGGTACACTAATTTCATACTAGATTGGCATGGCGTCTCCCATGTTCTTTCAAGCGTTCGTGTGCCACTAGAACAACCTAAAGAGAGGACAATCTCGCGATCATGAAAACACTGGTAAGGAATCGAACTTTCTATTTACTGCGTTGTGCAATGTCTGATATCGACTCTACGCGTTGTCCCCTAGACCACATTTAGTCCACCAACATAAAATATATCAGTGAATCGCACATAGGAAGTATACTTCTTCCCAGATGTTCTTCCTTTTTTTGCATCGTCGGCACAAAGTATGCATCCTTTAGTTCAGTTCACATCGGGCAAGTACGGGCGTGTGGGTGTTCCGGGCACTCGCTTTCGAACGGGCTCGACCTTGGTTCAAACCAGACACCCGCAAAGAAATTGTATTATATAGTATTTATTTTGTGCGCGCCAGCTGCGTGTGAGAATGGTTTTATGAAACATCACCAGCTACGCCGGTCAGGCAATACACAGTTCGCTCGAAAAAGAGCAGAGGGAGCTGCGCCTCGAAGTTTTACACCCGTACTAATTTCCTAACGCTGTCCTGCAGAGCTGGCTCCTCCGCAATATGAGGCTTCATGAGAAAAAGCCTACTTTTCTGTTTTGGTTAAGTAAGATGCAGTGTTTATTCTCTCCCCTTCTTCTAACGGAGAGAATCAGGCAGCTCGATGCACATCCTTTTCTTTTTAGACAGAATTTCCATAATTTCTCTTATGATATTAAACATTTTTTTCTCACATCTAATTCACACCATCAACAAAATGTGCGATGTTAGCGCAGCCAACTCAGCGGTGCAGTGCCTCGGTAAGTGGGGCGTGTATAATACCAACTTGGTCCAAACATACAAACGGTGAAGCTAAAGTACGGCAAATCTAGGGCTAGTATTAAGTTAGTGCAAAGATGTAGAGAAACCTTCGACACGCCGAAAATGAGCCAAGGACAGCCGAACATGCACTTTACACCCTTTCAACCGTCAAGAGAAGCAAAGAAAGAGTTATACGACATGGCACTGAAAGCGTCCTGCGTGCTGGTCAACTAGCAAGGGCGTCCAGTCACATTTGCTATATTCACAGCATTATTTGCAGGACTATAGATTCGGAAACGAGCGTGTTCAGCGTCGGTATTTGGCAGCTTCAACTACGTCTCATAACGAATTGTACGAATGTGACGGCGTTATTCCAGCCACACACTTTTCATCGACAGCCATGTTCCTAAGCAGAGTTAGCATTGGCGTAACTGGCGGTGAGAATCTACTGCCACTTCATGGAATACTTTGCTTCCGAAAAAAATTACCGCAAAGCAATCTGGCGCTACTGCGGACGATAGCTGCAGGCAGCGTACTTCCTACAGTACGGGAACGATGATGGGCGAATATCGCCGGGTTCTTAAGGCTCCAGGGCAATTTTATGATCTAGCATCATATACTCAACAATATATTTCGCTCTAAGTGTAATCACTGTACGCGAATGCCTTTAATCTTCAGACTTTCATGCATTTACACAAGTGCGAGGGTTTAGAGATGTCAGCATGACGAGTATCGCAACAACCTGTAGCCACTAATACGGACATCAGATGTAGGCGGGGGAAAACGAGACGCCGCGTGGGGCAAAACGAGACAGTGTAAAAAAAAAAAATCATTCCTTGAGTTTTTGTAGTAGGAGTACTTAAAATTCACTCTGTCGGCCCTTCCACAGTTTTAAGGAGCCCAGTCCTTGGGACTCCACGCATTGAATCTTGACAGACCCCTGTGTTCTGTTTCTCCGAAACTCCTTGACGATCAAACACCAACAGTCCTCTTTTTTGTGTGTGTGCTAATGTTTTCTTTTACTGAACGCTCGCCCCTCATTGGCTTATTCAACAATTGGAGGCTAGATATATTTTGACGTATCTTTTTCACCTCTTTTTGCCGTTTTGGCGCAGAACTGCTCAGGCATTTCGTGGCTTTCAACTTCGTACACCGGGCTTTGTGAGGCAATGACATTAAAACTGTACTAAATTTAGGTTTTCTGGTGCTCGTTTAATTTTAATTAGGGCATTGCGGGCACGTTGTTTAGACTCAATCCCAAGACGTTTTTGCGAACGACTTTACTTGGAGATTCCGACATTTTTTTTACGTCTCTTGAAAGTATCCTTGGGAACACGGAAAAACTTCTATGCAGCTCGAATGAAGGGAGCCGTGTACTGAACGGCAATCAGTGCTTTTTCATGTCGTTTTCCTCCCAGGAAGCTCTATATGATATTCTCTTGTATGTTTAAACCCTCCTAAACTAAGAAATATGATATATTGAGTGCAAGTTAATGGTTAGATTAATAAGACACTCTCTAAGCCAATTGAATGGATTTTTCGTCGCGTATTGCCCCTCTCACAGGCCAGAAAAAAATACCGCTTTGTCCCTAGGCACGAAACGAACTAAACTTTTGTTGTTACGTAGCTCGTAGCCTCAAGTAACAAAATTAATATTTACGTTGCTGTACTGACGCAGGAGTAGCTTTATGCACGGATCCGAAAATTCGGCCGAGCAGAATTTCGCCTCTTTTGGACGGATCACGAAAACGTTGACACCAGCCGCGTAATTCTTCCCGCGAGAATGCAATGAGGAATCGTGACGTGTACACATAAAAAGGCAGCAAGGACCAGCACTTACCGCTGGATAAAAGAAACAAAAAAAGGTAGTTTTTGTATTAGCTTCAAATGCCGACAAAGTCAAAATGTCACATTTCGCCCCGTGTCTCACTATACCCCACCCCACCCTATTACGAACTAATGACGTCATCCACTGGCAGATTCGGAGCACTTCCGGTAATACTATATGCTGCTCCATGTTGAGCAAGTCTCTTCCATTGGCAGATTTAGAGTGCTCCCTGTATGTTCCATTGGTAGATCTGCAGCATCTACGTCGCGAGATTCACCCAACGGAGCAACTTTTTTCTACTCCAAAAAAATCTCGGTGGATTCGACCGGAAGTCTCCAGCGCCGCGTGCCTTGAAACCTCTTGAAACGGTGCCAACTTTGCGCACGCCAACGGACGCCGGTTGCGTCAGTTGCACCTTGCGTCGGAGCTCACGTTTTGCTAGCGTAGCGTCGCTCTGCCCAGCGTGCCCACTCAAGCAACAAGTGAGACGCGCGCATCGCGTTCCATTCTGACCCTTTAACTTGCTCCAGAGGGAGCGCGTGTGTTCCATTGGTAGATTCCCTTCTGTTACCCTCCGCCAAAGTGGAGTACTCCGACGCAAGGCTTGCGGATCACTCCGAATCCGCCAATGGATGACGCCATAAGTCAAGCACTGCCTACCGTCCCCATGGTGGATGCACAATCACAACGTCTGATATCTCTCCAGTAATTACAGTAAGAAACACGTGTAGCCCGGTTAACTGGGCTTAGTTGGTGTTGATTAATTTAAGGGCCACTTACCAGGTGTGACCATTTTGATCTGACAAGCGCAATGCATAGATGAGACGTCTATGATCACGTCTGCCAAAATTAAGCTGCGGAAATGGGTCAAATTTCAAGATGAACGCTGCTCCCCCTTCCGCTTGCGGCATGACGTGCGCGTATGAATGGCCCTACGTACACGGCAGTGCAGTGACGTTGGTCCTCTGCGTAGAAGACTATGTTCTGACGTTGCCAACAGTGGCACGTGACATGGTGAAAATTAGTTAACACAATGTGCGTAGTTTAGCTATTTGTTGCTTGAGGAGATTAATAAATCTCTAGGTAAATATTGAGTCACAATTAGGGAATGTGAGTGCCCTTTTTTTTTCACATTTTCCCCCGTTAATTGCAACGAGACGCGGGGCTAATGTGCCGGCGTTTCGCATGCGTTCCATAGCCGTGGAACGCTCCTACGCGTTCGAGCACTAATTGTGCTCATCTATTCTACCGCGTCTGAGCCAGCGTTTCCAAACCTTCCCGCAGAAACTGGCAGTATACCTCAAAACAACGCTGGTCAACAACAAAAAATAAAATAACATAAGCGCCGCTCGCGTGCACGGGGATTGGGCTTGTTCGGGTACTTTCTGCGCACGTGACATCTAGATCGGATGCCGGAGAGGGTGGGGAGGAGATTCGGCTTGCGAAGGCTACCAACGCCGACTAAATTTCAAGGCCGAAAGGCTGCCGCAGTGACGTCAGAGGTTGGGGACCCAGTTGCCCAACTGAGCATGCTCAGTAAGACTTTTTTTTCCTCATCTTTTATTCAGCCCAATCTAGCCGCAGCAGCTGCGAGAGCGGGAGCATTGGTTCTCCTAAAACGCGAACGTAACACAGGCTTTCCGCCGCGTTCGCGGCGTAACTTGGCCCCCACCCTCTGACGTCACCGCGGCAGCCTTTCGGCCTTGAAATTTAGTCGGCGTTGAGGCTACGCGGAGGAGCGGCAAGGGCTTCGAGCTTACCTCCTCTCATCCTCGTTCCGCGCCGCTTCAAAAAAAAAAAAAAAAAAACTGTTTTCCCAGCTCGTAATGAGCCAATTAAAAAAATTTTGCAGAATGTTCCTCATTGGACCCCCAACAACTTCTACGGTCTAACTAAAATTTGGTATGGGGCCTGGTGAGTGGCCCTTCAAGACTGGATATGACTGCGATATCTTCGTGCCCGTGTTAGTGTGCGCGCCTTACCCAACCTCATGTGGCAGTCGTGATGTCAGACAAGAAATAATACTCTAATGGAGCGTAAAGATAAATACTACAGCCCAATCCATGGGGCTCTGATGTAACGCAGCAAGAACCGAGACCTTGGACATACTGGCTCCAAGGAGAGACGACGTTCCCTCGAGAATGTCGTCGTTGTGTCAACGCGTCGATGTCACAATTTCCAGCGCGCATTCGGCGCTCCACCTGGTGGCGGACAGAGACAAGACCCGGACAAGAGCTGGGTAACTTTATTTCGCAACAGAAGATGAAGTTGATGATTCATTTACAATGGCATTGAACGGTCATTATGATGCAGAATGTTTCAAATGCAAAGCACTTGCCGCGACGTACCACTGATAAGTTGTTGCATAAATTACCCCTGAAAACAAGTGCGAGCATGCATTCAGTATAATTAACACACAGATCTTTTTTTTTACGTCTCACTAGGTGTTATACATATTTTTCAAGACTTCCGATTTTTTTTTATTTCTAGAACATTCACTTCATGATGTGCTCATAGAGGAAAGCAAAGCAACGTTTCAACAAGAGGCACGCAAGAGAAGAAAAAAAAAACTATGACAATTTTGACGAAACGAACATTAACGCGCAATATGGTCGTCACACAAGCACTCAGCAGGCAGATCGGTGTATAGAACTCTCGCGGTGCAAAAACAAAAACAGGTTTAACAGGAGGAGTGAATCGAGTTTGCTTTGCAGATGATTGCAGTCGTGCGAGTTCTACCATTTAAAAAAAAAAACGATGTTCACCCAGACTTTCCAAAACTTGACCACAATGGACGTCAGACACTTAAAAGGCGATATACATCTAGCTCCTAACACCACAATTGTGTGTAGCATTTAAAAAGTTTCAAATGGGCCCTAGAATGGTACCGTGACCATCGAAGATGCCTACAGTTTGCTAGAGATAGCTTTAGTGATATCGTAGCCCGACCCGCCCCTACGGCCAGAAGCCCTGCGCGAAGGGAAATCTACGGAAAGGTTGGTTCTTCAAACGAGATCGAAGAAGAAGAAAAAAAGGACAAGAAAGAAAGGTTAGCAAAATGAAGACAACAGCCAAAGAAGAAACAAAAAAAATCTGGCGCGATCGTTAACAGTCAACAGCAACTGGCAATAATAACGGTAATAGCTTACGCATAGTTTTACGCGGCGTGTGAGTGTGTGTTTGTGGATATGACCCCCTTTTGACTGTAAAAGCGTCCCCGCCCCCCAAAAGGGACTTGCGACACGGTTGAAAACTCCACCACCGCGCAGAACGTGAGAAAAGTGCGCCCAGAGGTGTCGTCTAAGCGCATATTATAGCCTCACCGTGAAGTCTAGACACTAAATAGATCGCCCGCGCTTCCTCCCACCTACGGGCCTCTTCGGCAAGGTGCAATGACGTCACTCAGAAACTATACGAAACAAGCAATACGAAACTATGCAGGTAAACGTACGACTTCAGCCGCCATGTGACGCATGCTTTTAAACTTCCAGGCAATGACTTCGGAAACAAACACGGACAAAAGGCGAACGTGCAGGGCAAAAAACACAAACGTATAAACATAGGTGCGAGAGAATGTAAACACTGGAAACAGCGGACGTTCGCGCTTAAAGTTTGGGGCGCGATAACCGTGCAATCAGAAAACTCAGCCACAGGGCACCGATACTCAAGGGGGTGAGGCGTGCAGAGTAAGTTCGTACCAGAAATATAGGCGACGGAAGACAAGTTGTCCGGGCCACGCGATCCAAACAAGGCATCGAATGTTAGTCGTCATTGGCGTCAAATTATCTACTGAAATTCGGTCGCTATAGGAGACTCTTTGCTTAGTGCTGTTCAGTGGCTTACCCTTGTCATGTACCACGCTAGCCACACTTGTCTACACTGATCAAATCAGCCGATTTTAACGGCCGTCTTTCGTGCACCAGTCAGGGCCGTCACCTGGTCATTGTCGCATGTTCAGCCTACACACTGCACGGAACGTGTCGCGCAGCAATCTACCAGCCACTCGATCACTCTAGGCAAGTCTGATTCACGCCGTACGAAATGAACACGCATAAGCGGCGCTGAGCGAGATTGGGTCGCCACGCGAAAAATCGAAAAACTGCGTAACGAAGTGCGAAATACGACATACACGGGAGCGAGTGTTAGACTACCCCCAACTGCTTTCCAGACGGTACGCGCCTAACCTTTAGATAGTATAATGGTTAGCCTTTGCTTGTGCGAAGTGTTGAAGCGTTAAAATTGTGCGCAAAACGAGCATTTTCCTCAACTGCAACACGTATGTTTTGAATATCCTCTGTACCCCCTCCCCCCTTCTCATTTAAGTTTTACATATGGTACTACCTCCGGTTGCCGATGACCCCCTTCCCTCGTCGCGACTCCGTAAGCATAGCCGCGCTTTGAAACTTCTGCACCGGTCTAAGCCCGTGTGGAAGGACGCTATATTCCCGCGCTTTGCCTCATTTCGAACTTCACGCGACGAAGTGGAGAGTACTACGGTGGCCAAGGCACGCTTTGCGTCTCGAACGTGCGAATTTGGAAAGAAAGACATGCATTATATATATATACCTATAGATGTAACCAACAAGCTGAGCAGAATGCCCACGACGTCAACGAGTGGCGTATGAGAAACGTATAACGGAGACAGCCAGTGTGAAAAAAAAAAAAAGTACGGCGCAAAGAAACGCACGCGTTGAAACTGGACTCCTTCCGAGACGTTCAGCCACTCGTCAAAGTGGGAGAAATTTTTTTGCATAATGACATATTACACGTCAACCGGCCCTCAACCACTCTCAAGCTCAGATGTAAATTTTTTTAACGCTTTCAGCAGCGCTGTATCTCAATGCGAGGCTCGAAAACCGTTCTTGCCACCAGCGCGAGCGAGCTCCGAACGGTCGGTCGGCGAAAGACTGCGCCTTCGTAGAAGGGCGGTTGGTCGCTATCGTTACTGTGGTCATTCTCTCTCGTCAATGCTCGGTAGGTGAAGGATACGTTGCGACCATCTTGAAGCGTCTACGCTTCTTCGGCGGCGTATGCTTAGCTAATTAAGGAATAAAGATAGTATCGAAATTAAAGTGCGCGGCTTCTCACTTCACTTATGTAAGGGACGTGCTGCTCGACACGCCAGGGCCTATCTAACTTTTATGCACGAAACCAATTTGGCTTTTTGAGTTTCCTTTACGTTCCCACTTCAATCCTGCCTGTGATTCCCGTCATTTTTTTCGTTTGATTCCATTTCCTTTCTTTCCCGAAACGCAGACAGGCGTCGAGACCTCCCACTGCGGAAGTTGCCGGCCTGTTGCCTCCCCGCTTTCTTTGCATCTTTTGCACGTATGAAAGAATAATCGCTGCCAATTACACGCGATCGTCATACTCTGAAAGGGGCTGCACGTATGAAAAAAAAAAAAGGCAGCGCACAAGAAAATTATAGGGATCCAACGAGTCCCCGAATCGAGGACTGCGATAAGATTAAGCTACCAAGAGGGGCACAGTTCGCGATTGGCGATATTTGCGCTGGGCCGCTTGGAAATTATCAAAAAGGTCGATGATGACGCAAAATACTCGCGCGAACGAGTGCGGATCACCGAAAGCATTCGTGGATTGTGGCGTGCACGTGCGATAGTGAAATATATTGCTACAACATGACAACCATAAATAAACGTCTACACAACAAAAAAAAGACTATACGCTCACCCCAAGAAAAGCAGTAAGGGGAGGGACAGGAGGGGGGGGGGGGAGTACTGAAAAGACTTGAGGGCACGAAAACGCATTACGTCCAAACAATTTTGCTCTAAAACTGAGCCGACATCTCTCGAAACAAGCTCAAGGGGTATAGGCGTTAATTTGCATAACGTTATTCGAGACGATGTCGTTCTTTGGCGTCCCTGTCTCCGATACGTTGAGAAAGTGCGCAACCCCAGAAGGCACGCATCGATTTACAAAAGGACAGGAAAAAAAAGTGAGCTTCATGGCGATTGAGTATGAATCCGCATTTGTCTCTTGCGCGTCGCGAAAACGATGGGTATTGTGCTGAGTCATCAAAACTACTACGATCGAGTGAAAGCGAGTCATGCGAGGCATCATGAGTGGCGTAAAACGCTCGGACATAGAGCACGAAACGTATTTCACCTAGTCTCCGCTGTCGATTGTTTCGTGTTTTTTTTTTCTTTTTAATGTGGTGCTACGGACTACTTCAGTCTAAGACGTCACGCTCATCCCTGCGCAAGTTATTCTGTTTTTTTTTTCTTCAACAATTCTTTGTTAGGAAGCGTACGGAAGTGAAAACGAAGAGAAATAGATGGTAGCGCAAGCAAAGGCGGAGAAATTGAGGTAAAACGAGCATTTGTTATACGAACAAAACCGAACCATGCATTGCGTGAAAAACGAAAAGCGTTTTTTTTTTCTTCTTCACCAAGACACTTCTAAACGCGTGAAAAAAAAAACCCCGTCGTATTCGTTGTACAAGTGCAGACAGAGCTGGCGCCAGCGTTGCCGACCAAATTGATTTTTACCTCGAAGTGACAAAAAAAGAGACACTTTCTTGTTATAAGAGAGCGGGTTAGGTCAGGAAGGCTAGGCATGTATATCTCTCAGTATATTTATATCGCATATGTATATTTATATATATGTATATATGTATATGCCATAGATACGTGTAAGGAAAATGAAAGGAAAGGAAGTTGGTATGTTGACGAAGCATTTTTTTTTTCTTTCTCAACAGCAGCTTTCACACCTTGCATTAGTGTTCCTTTTGAACACCAAGAAAAAAAAATGAAGATCTCTCGATACTTGAAGGAGGAGGGTGTGTGTGTGTCATTCAACCTCTCGTAGATCAAGGGGTAACGCGGAAAGAAGGGAACAGGGGGCGCTACGGGAAGAATGTGCGGGACACGTCACGGGCTCCGCTCACTCGCAGCCAATAGGCGCAGCCGCGCGAACCACGTGACACGCGAGGTCGTGTAAGGCAAAGAGTGACGCGGGACGCAAAAAAACATTCACACAATTCCGACGCTTCTCGTCTTTTTGTACGCGTAATCGATCGCCTCCGTTATGTTACAACTCTTAGACGGGAGGGTTGTAGGCGTACGCTCGGAAAACTTCTCATTCACGCACTGCTTCTTCGGGGACGCGAGGTGCTGTTTTCAGTTGCGAGGGCAGCATTCGACATTGACTTTCGTCAACGAGACCCTTTTGCAAAATTCGGAGTGGGGTGTGACGAGGTAGGGAGGAGGAGTTGTACGGAGGGTATGGCATGCCTCTCTATAACAAGGTACAACTGCGGCAACGTGCAAATCTACCAAGCCCAACAAAAGCCACACGCACGGAGACCAGGCGGGGACAGCTTGAGCCATTTTTTTTTTGTTTTGCTTAACCTGCGCGGCCGCTACTATGCGTTTTCCGCTGCTACCGCCAGCTCCGACGAAGTACTGAAAAAACTTTGCTACTAGTATTTTTTTTAATGCGTGAAACTGCGCACTCTCCCCTCTTTCCCCTACTTACTCTCGACATTGCAATGTAATGCTAAAATAAATGCTCATCATATATTTATATATATATTTATATAATCTGTATAGTATTTATATTTGTATACGACTAACATACAATTCAGCAAGCACTGCGAAGTAACTAACAATCGTGTTGTACAAGAAGTCCTCTGTCACAATTTGATTCGCAAGCAAAATGAATGAGAGAGGGATGGGGGAAATGCGAAGGAATGAAAGTAGAACAATTTAAAGCACTTTACGAACACACTGCTGACAGAATAAGCGTGTGAAAGGGTAAGTAACCTGTGCTAAAGAAAAGTAATAAAAAAAAACTCGCACAATTCGTGTAGCGTTTCTCGGTTACGTTTCTCTAACGCTCCTCCAGAGCGCTGCCCCGCGTTAAAATATGCACAAACTTAACGGACCTATCTCTCTCTCTCTCACAGGCAAACCTTGTCACAAAGACACATTTTTCTGCTAGCGTTCTCAATCACACACACACACTGCAAAATATTTCCACGTCGTCGATCAGTTTTCGTTTCGGCAACGATAACACCGAGCGCCTTCATCAACGCTTTGATTGACGGGGCGACACCGGGCGCATCCAGGTTGCCGTGGCAACGTGCCTCCATCTTATCAGCGACCACTCAGCCCCACGAGCCAACAAACCGCCAACAACCGCTCAGTGACTGAACTACGGTGCCGCAACCCGTGCTACCGACGCTCGCAGGTCGGTTCATAACCGATATAGAATATAAGACCGCGACAAACTTTGAGCTACGTGAAGTGGCAGGAAACAAAAAAAAAGAACGAAAAAGACTGTGAAACTGCACTTTTTGTCTTAACGGGCCCGTGCTACGTGGCGGGGGAAAATAGAGCGAATGGAAGCAGAGACAAGAGTCTCCGAAGATACTCTGCTACATTTTTTTTTCTCTTCTGCACGCACTTCGCTCTATCTCCGTTGCACGTCTCGGCTAAACTTCATTCAATGGCATAAAAAGCCAGACCTAGACACCGACACATACACATACAAGACAAGGGCGCTGCTTCTCGCAAGTGCGACTGAATCAAATGTTGTGGCCGAGGAAGCCAGGTTCGGCGAGCGGGCCGACAGGTGCGCGAAGTAACGGTAATAATGGGAGGAGGCGACGGGTCGAGGCAAGGGGGGTGTAAGGGGAACGTGTGCTGTGTGCATTCGAGATATCTCACCCGCGGTCAAAGTGAATGCGCTGCAGCGGCGTGGAAAGGAAAAACGGGCGATTGGAGACACAGGCACACACACACAACGTTACACTCGAAAGCAACGCCGTTAAGGCGCAATACGCGATCAACGGGAAATCGGGAGACAGAGAAGGGACAGAGAGAGAAAAAACGGCGTCATCGTCACATGGTAGCGTGCGCGTCCAAAAACACATGGGCATGGAGGAAGAAGGGTCGATCTCGCGGCCACTTTTTTTTTTCTCGTTATTTTTTTTTTTCTCTTTCACACGGCAGTCTCGACACTGTGATTGGATGTCGCGTCGCCTTCCTTGGGGCCACCTGGCGGCGACGACGCTTGCTGAGGTTCCCGGCCCGGGGGCGAGGAGGCAGGGGCGGCGGCACTAGGTGCCGCCACCGACGAGGCGGCCGCCGTCTCTTCCTTGGGCGAGGAGAGTCCCGCAGCGGCCGACGTGTGCGGCTGTGAGTGCAGCTGAGACCGCACAAAGCCGGTGCCCGATGGGGACGCTGCTGACGCCTTCCGTAGGAGCGCGGTCTGGTAGGCAGGATTATTGCGAGCGTCTAAGTTACTGCGGAAAGCATTCACTACTCGGATCTGAAACAGGCCAGAAAAAAAGGGGAGAGACGGGGGCGGGGGAAAAGAGGGGGGTCCAGGCGAAGAAGATGGCGGGGGAGAGAAAAGCAAAGAGAAGAACACGGGAGCCACGTAGGCAGGGGGGTTAAGAAAGAAAGAAAAAAACAGGGGGCCGGGGGCGGGGGGAACAACAAAAAAACGTGTGAGTACCAAACCAAAATAAAGAGAGAGAAAGAGAAAAGTTCAAAACAAAAATAGCAGCAGCAAAACAAACGAGAGCAAACTAAACAAAGCTTCAAAACAAAACAATGCTCGCAAAAATGAAAACCAAAATATAAAAAGTATGAGGCAGCACAGCCAGATAGCAGCAAAAAGGCGGAAAAGATGATAGAGTTTGTCGAAAAAGGCAGAGCAGTCGCAGCAGCACCCATATTGGTAGAAATGAGTGGCAACCAAATGCACGATCACTGCCTCACTCAGGCTGAGACATTTTCAAAACTGATCCACTACAGCTATGAGACAGTGCCGCAGGAGGTAAAAAAAGTCAGTGCGTGGCAATGTAGCGCTAGTGCACAGAGGCTTGTGCCCTCAAAAGCTAGAACAGGCTAGCTCTACAGAGAGGCACCATACTAAGCTTGAAAATCCACGCTGGCAGAACTAGCTAACCTTAAAGCACTAAGAGAGAAAAAAAGGGGGGAGAGAGCAAGCTGTCCAAGCCATTGCAAGTGCTTGCCTGGGGGACACAAAAGTAAACGAGTAGCTCGGGAGGATAGAAAAGTGACGATACATACTACCCGAAAGTGTGCATACCGAGAGCTTGCAATCACCATGACACTTGCACTCTCCCAGTGACACGGGCAATTTAAAAAATGGTCCATCTCACCCCCCCCCCCAAAAAAAAACAGAGAATATGCATGGCCACCGACTGCATGGCTTTGCGCAGAGCTGTGCCTGAAGGCAAGCATGCTCATACCAAAAGAATGCATGCATACAATCGAGGCTGGGTGGCAGCGGATCCTACGCAACAGTGCGACGCGCTTCCCACTGTTGAGCGCCATTCCCATAAAGCAGCTACAAGGCTCGACTCCACTGCAAATAGCATCCACTGCCACATCCAGTGAACTTCTTTCTCAAAGGCATGACAAAACACAAACGCACACAATGAACGATCCTTGCCAAGGTGCACACCCCAGCAAAACAATCAAAAAAGCATGTTATAGAGCCTGTTATGTTAATGCATCGTGGATGAAAATGGGGCTAACCACGAGCAACAGTACGATCTCGCACTGATAATCTGATGTGCTTTTGTCGTTTTAGCTGTTTGCATGGTTTTTGTTGGTTTTCAAGGAAAACAGCTGCAGAAAATCAAGATGGGCAGCCAAAAAAGAAAAAGAAACAAAAAAAATGCAAACACACACATTACGATTAGAAAATCAAGACATGCACATGAGAGTTTGTATCTTTGGTCTTTGTAGCTTGGCACGGCTGAGCATTTGAAATCTCAAGTATTGCATGAAGTTCAGCAGTGTAGCGACCCCCAAGTGTCAACAGCAGGCAAAGAACAAAGGAAAACTCCAAGACTGATATGTTTACAGTCAGTCTGTGACAGTTGTGATCATGACCGTGGTGGTTGTAGGTGTTCCTCCAGTGTCCCGCGCAGGTCTCTGCAGTTTTCAGATTCTGTGGTGGGGTGGGTTGTACCAGGTGTTGTGTGTGACTTGTCTGCGATGTCTTCCTGCAGATCACCTCTTGGAGTCGTCCCGGTTTCTGTTTCATTCACTTTTGTGGGAACTTTACGCACAGTCACAGCATGCTCTTTCGAACACAGTGCGAACAAAGTGCCGTGGACATGTCACAATTGTTTCCCCTTGTCACATATTCCCGTGATGTCAGACACGTGTCGCGTGAAGTGCGCTGCTGGTCGCACATTGTGGGAAAACACAGTCGCCAACCCAAAACCAGGACACCACCCCCCAAGACGGGGCACGAGAACCTGGCTCAGGCGGATGTGTTTGCCCGTGGCAAGAATGTCATTGCTACCTTTGTGCACACACTTGATGCTAGTGACCAATTATCGCAGCGCTATGCATGTGGAAGTGAGGTGACAAGTGTCTCAGAATTGCTGCTTTCTTCCCACGACCTAACAAACAAACAAAAAGATAAGAAAGCAGCTATGTGTTGCACGGCATGTACCGTACCAAATGCTGTTGCCTTGTCACGCATGTTTGTTTTCCTAGGCTTGTTTTTAGGAGGCACACAGAAAAGAAAGCGAAGCTGCCTAATGCAGAAAACCACATCACAAACAAAACCGAAACCATAAAGCAACACAAGCTAGCAAGGCACTAGCAACACTTGTAGCTCCAAAGCCAAACTGTCATCACAACAGGCATCACTTCACGCACTAGTAAAAAAAAAAAGGGGACTGACTGCATCACTTTCCCTCTCTCTCCTTGCATCACAAAAGCTTAAAAAGAAAGGGGGAACCTCTGGATCACGCACGCGCTCACGAGAGACGACGAGAAAGATCCAAAAGGAGTAAGTCCACCAGACAAGTTAGAACACACAATGGAGACTAAAAAATTACTGTGGGAGTCAACACCAGAGGAGGCACTATACAGCGTCAGCAGCAGCGACATACGTAGCAGCCACAGAAGCAGCAAAAACAGCGGCATGCAAGCGTACACACCACACAAGATCCGACAAAGCGCGTCACCATCACAGCACAGGACGTCGCGACCTAACCCCTGGGCAGAGAGAGAGAGCGATAAAGACGGCAGAGTATGCCATGCGAACGACGCGAGACCTGGAGAAGCGCACGGCAGGAGAGAGAGGAGGGAAACTGTCCACTCGTCAAGGCACAAACAGAGATATCCATGCCAGTTGCGTCGCAGTTGCGTGCCTATAAGTTGAAGGTTTCAACTTACTTGTTTCGCCAAAACATCAGAATGATAGGCCTGCATGCGTAAATGACAAATGGAGTAAATTACACGCACTCAGAGCCACCAAAAGAGAGGATAAACAAGGCGTGAAAACAAGAAAAATAAACAGAATGTTGCGGCTCCTTTGACGGAGACAGAGTCTGAGATGAAAAAATTATAATAACAAAAGAAAAAGCAAGAGAATCCTCTGTAAAACTAGGCAACCAGATTCCATGATTCGTCGGATACAAATGCTGCTGCCTGTGGTGAAAAATGCACAAGAAAGTGATACCAGCTTGATTTTTACCACAGCCACTCAATCTGCACTTTTTTTTTTTATGCTAAATACATGTAAGAGAGAAAGCCAGTCCTAGTGTTGGTGGGAGGAAGAAAGGACGGTAGAGTGAGAGTGTCAGTTGGTGATTGTTCTGTGCATTAGTATTGTCTTTCCAAGCAGTTTCCGATAGTCGAGCAAGTACAGTGTTGGTTAACAACTGAAGCTCACATGTTGTATGCACAAAGACATGCTAGCTATGGCGTATAACTGACAGCCTGCCAGAATGCAGAGGAAATGCACTAAGTATGAGTGCAGAATTACACAAAAGTCCTGTAAGTTAAGCAGCCTAATTGAAGACATCACTGGACAGCAACGTAAGTTACACTCTAGCTTGGGTAACTAGACCAATAACTATGGCAATGGAAAAACAGCAAAAAATTAACATATTAGCCTTCCACCTACTGAAGCTAGCTAGTAAAAGCAGTAATAAAAAATTTCTTTACAACAGCAGTTCACGGAATGAAGTAAAAATAAATAAACAAGACAAAACAAAAACCAAACAAAGTTAACTGGAACTTAAGGGAGCTAGGTGCAGTAGATGTGGCAGCAATATTTCATTGAGAAATGACGTCGTTACTCGCTAGATCATGTGACGAGCGACCAAGGTGATAGTTCAATTTTCCATTATCAGTGAATGGCATTTTGTACATCGCTATTTTCGTAGAAAGTGCGTCAGCTGCCATTACAAGAGCGATGTGTGTCACGTTAAAAGCATAGGTAAGAAAACAGTCCAAATATCACATTCCGCAGCTGCTCAAGGTTCAGCTCACTGCACAATAGCCTGACGGAGAGTGGTTCTGTGGGTAGGTACTACTAGTATCAAGCAGTGCACAATGCAAGTAGCTCTGCTCCACAATGCAAACAGCGCCTAAATCGCAAACTGAAACAAGCACTACCAGAAGGCCAACACAAGGCACACTAAGTCCATGCCACCACAAATCCTGCAGACCTGATGCCACTGCAAAGCAACATTCCAGGTTTTGCTTTACCTGCAATGCAGCTGCACATTATGACATATTTCAGCCATCCACTGTTAGCAATGCATACAGCTACCAAGGTAAAGAACAGTTAAGGGAGTCTGAATCTCGAGATTCTACATGTTGTCGTTCTCGGGATTTCCTTTTGCACACAGAGCTTGCTGATATCACTGGCAACCAGGGAGCGGTTAAGGAATCACAAAGAATATGCATGATTCTCACTAATGTGAAAAACTCAATTATTTACAGATTCATCATGAGACTCTGGTAGCCCATGAGCTCATAAAAAGCAAGCTAACGAAGTCAGTCCCTCTTCTGATTTAATTAGGCTTAACATTAAACAATAAGGCTGCAGAACCAAATTACTATTTATCCTCAGTTCCATTAACAATTCCTCATAACATAAAGAGTCAGCACAAAGAATTATGCTGCCTGGCCCTGCTTCCCTAAATGATAGAGGTATGAACGCAATGAAACTAGCCTAAGCACACTTTTCCTAATCTAAAGATACTGCGAGAAAAATAGCTGAGCTATGCAGTGCTTTTGCAACAACAGTGTCACACACCATTTTCAAACAGATTCTTTCGTACACGTCCCAAATCTGATAGTTCCGTATACCGTTTTGAATTAGCTGCAGGTTCAGTGTTACCATAGACTTAGTGGACACGCCAAGACACGTGAATGCTTCATCTTCCGAAAATTACAACAGAGCGAGTACTCTGTACGTAGGAAAAAAGAGACAGCTGCTCCAGTCAGCATTCCTTACAACATGCACCTACTGCACACACAAAACAAACAGCAAGCCTTGTGGATTCAAATCAGTACAAGTAAATGGTATTTTCTGTCGCTGTAGGGTGTGAGCACGGCAATGCCCTAGCGTTAGCTGAGCAAAGGTTCAGGTGGCAACGACGTTGTAAGTCAGAGGTATTCAAAGTGAAGCCTTCGTCAGCACAAACACCGAAGCGTTGGCTATTGCTCGCGAGAAAAGCCATGCTTAAGAAGACCCTGACACTTACCGGCAAGGCCACGGGCGACACTTTGAACACCCCTTCTCTAGGCAACAAAACTACCTACTTAAGACTAGTGTGTCATTTGTGAGCACAACACCGGCTGCCACTTTCTTTCTTTTTATGCGTACACATTTCTGTTGCGATGCTGCTTTCTGTCCAACAAAGGAAAGACGCAAATGAAACAAATGCAAACTGCCTGCCATCACCATTTAAACGCTCATGTCTGCCGTGAAGCATAAGACAATGACAACAAAAAAGTAGTTGAAGCGCCACTGAACAAATAAGAAAAACAACAAAATGCAACCTACTCTACAAAAGTACACTACCACTCCCACACTGTGCAGAACCAAGCTCAGAGAAGCAAGTGCAAGCAGTTAGTACTCCACAACTAGACAGACCAAATTAGGAGAGAAACTAAACAGCCTAAGTTCGTCGAAGTGCATGCCAAGCACCAACTTGCTAACGCAGGACAGATGTGGGTGCCACCCGATTTTGTGTTTGCTCACATTTCACGGGGCTCGTAGCACAAGGTGCAACAGTAACCTAGGTTTTAACAAATTAGGGCAACTCTCCAGAGAAGCACCCGAGATCGCTACTGCACTGATAGTAAGAAATTGTGAGGCAAACCAGGGCTGAACGTACGCTTACGATGATGTCCTCGCTATAGACTCCAAAGGCACATGAACAGAATGAAACTCAGGGACAACCTGCACTACGCACGGCCTTCCCTGTGCATTGCAGCTCGAAGAGCACGAGAAAAAAGCACAAATATAAATCTCAAGCTTCATTTGTGCATTTCTTTAAAAAAAAATTGCACTAATTGCTGAATGCAGTTATGCAATAGAGCAGCGCACACAATGCTCGTCTAACTACTGAAGGCTGCTTCGTGTGAGCAATTTTACGTGCGCACGCACGCAGAATAAATCCAATACACAGTTAAGTAAATTTACCGAGAATTCTATTGCCTCCATGAAAAAGCGCTTCTCCCTCCTAAAGCAAACATGCCATATTTCTTCTGCTCAAACGATGTTCTTCATCCAGCATGTTAGAAATTTTATAATTTATGGGGGTTTAGATGCCGAAATCGGGCCTCACCGGTCGTCTTGTAACATCTTTATCACAATTTCCAAGGTATGCAGTGCTTGCTGTACACAGAAATGAACTTTTTTTTAAAACTTCATTTCTATACTCAAACTTATCATTGTGGGGCACCCTGGATTAATTTTAGTGATCTAGAGATCTTAAATGTGCAACCTCAATCAAGAGCAATCGTGTTATTAATTTTCCACATCAAAATAAGGCCACTGTGGCCCCAAATAGACCATGTGTCTTAGAGCATGGTAGGGCAACGCTGTACTTGTCAAGCTAACTCGACAGGCTGCTGGAATCTTCTAAGTGATGATAAAACAAGTCCTGCAAAAAATGAAATTTGCTGAGAAATTTCACACTTGAGTCGCATTTTGTTCCAAATATATGCTAGCGGTTGAATCCAAAACTCGATTTGCAAAACGCATCAGGGCAAAATTCAGTATGCGAAACAAGGTGAAAAAGTAATCTTTCCTTTTGAATTCAATCGTCAATTATCTTTCAAATGTGGGTGCATTACTCTGGCTGCAACTGCAGACAATTGTCCAGCCACAAAACTAGCCTCGAACATAGCCCCTATGAGAAATCGAGCAAGGCTCATGCTAGCGGCATTGAGAGAGAGTACCTATCCTCAGTTTCAGAAGTGCGAAGGGGATGCAGAAAGTAGGGTGCAGCAGCCCTGCCACCTATCTGCCCACATGCACGACCCAAACGTAGACGTTTAAAAGGTTTTTGGAAATTGAAAGAGAGTCAACCATTAGAGAAACTACAACAAGTAGATGCCTTGTCCTGCCCTAATCCATCAGCCGCACTTGTACCTAGCTGGATGAAATGTGTATGGCACGCGAGTGTTTGCACATAATTTAGACAATCGTAGCAACCCGCCTGAATTTTTGAAATCATCCCTGGTTCGCTGTAGGCAGCCGATAGTTCAGCAGTGTGAGCTACCAAGTTGCGCTTTAAGCAAGTAACTTTTCTAACTAAATGTGCCATTGAGGCTGCTCACTAGTGGCCACACTTAATGGGGTGCTCCAAGACTTTTGACCATGGCCAAAAACGCTGCTGGTCGATAGTCAAGGCTCCCGAGAACACACAAAGCCAAATGTTACAGCGCAGTATGTGACCTGTAGTTAACAATAAATTCTCAAAGCCAGCTAAAAATCGCTTTCTCTTCTCTCGACACATGAGGTTACAGGCTCGAAAATCACTGCGTGACAGACCAAGCATCAGCTAGTAGCTGATGTGAGCATGGGGTGCTCAGTTATTACTGGGGCCGCCCAGGGAGGCTGCGACTTGTCCATGCGGGCACGCGTGATCCCACTGAAAAGCCTTGCATTCAAAGAAAGAAGAAAAGAAAAAGTGCTCAAGGTCATGAGGTGCCCGTGATGTATTTTCTTCCCTCTGGCGATCTCTCCCTCCCAAGCTTACAGTGCTTTCGTCAGGACAAGAGAAAAGAGAATGTACCTGCAGTGTGCGACAAATGTTTGTAACTCCACTCTTACTGGGAGGATTCAAAAAATTTTAGCAATGATGAATTCGTGAGACAATAAGCTCCTTTAGTAAATCTATTACATGGATACTTGAAAAGGTGTTGCAGGGCCCCCTTTACGAGCAGCCATCTGAAACGCTGCGCAACCCTCTGTGCTGTTTGTTCACTGTGCGCCAGCCAACGATTTAGACAGCGTCTATGGAATGTTTTCAAAAACGAGCCACAATGCACCAGGGAGTACGTACCACAGCACCACATGTCACAGCAATCAAAAATGATTCACCGTCACTGCACGAGATATTAACACCACCAACGGCCAAAAACCAAACGCTAGCCGACACATGCACCTCAGTGACATCCTACAAAAAAAAAAAAAAAAACAGTAATGACATACAAATAAACCAAAAGAGGCTGACGTGCCTGGTTCCACATGTGGTTCTTTCAAGCCAATAAAAAAGCAGCACATTCATTTGCCACAAGAACAAGTCCACAGTTAACGACTCTAAGGCATCAAAAGGGCCACAGTATTGTGAGGCTATTCAATGTTTCAATCGCCTCGCAGGAGACGACAAAGTGTATGAAAGTTGCCACTGAGATAGTGTGCCTGACAATTCCTTACCACCACATGGGGAATCACAGGTGCATCCACCAATACATAAGCTGTTAGTAAACATTGTCACTACGTACAAAACTAAGAGCTACAGCACTAAAAAAGTTTAATAAATTATAAGTATGAACAACGCAGCAGGCACACGGTGCAGGACAAAGAAAAGAGGGTTTCCAACAGCTGAAAGAGTCTTACAGCTTGATCTGTTGCACTCTTGCTGTAGGGAACTGGAATCAATCGATCCTGCAACTCTCCTCCAATCACCTTGGGAAATAGCATCGAGAGGGGGGTCAGTGTTAACCCGGCCAAAAAGAAAAATGAGCTGACAGAGACGCACTTCTGTTCAAACACCCCTTCGTAGCAAAAAAAAAAGTTGGCCCCACCCATTGCAGTGGGTCCGGCTCTCCTTTGCCAACCATATTGTGGAGAGAGAAAAAAGAAGGACCGCATTCGGTGCAAATCGTTCATTCAGTGCAAACAGTTCATTTTCTCTTGAAATTATTACAATGACAAGTGTTGCGCAGAATTTTTTGCAATTTGCCTTGTTCGGCCACCTCGCAATCTGCACGGCATCAGTGCCGGAAAATGGGCACTAAAAATGGCTACACTCAGGGCTGCTCTGCACACCAGTATGTTTTCACCAAGACTGTGTACCTTTACGTACTCTCCATGAACCCCTGTCAATGTCGGCAATGTTTATAGAGGGAAGAGGCATTTAGTGGTCACACTGCCCATGTGACTGTAAACAGCCGATGATGTAAAAAAACTGACAGGTCAGAAAAACAAATTACCCATTCGCATGAACCTCTGTGCTGCAAATTGCAGTGTCGCTTTTTACTATGCAGAGATAAAGGATCTATACAGCTTGGAATGTGTATACATATAAATCTTTCAAGCTGATTTACAAATTCAACTGTCATAGCTTTTTGTACAAGGTTAGCACAAACATGGAAAGTCATTTATATATATTGTGAAGCCATTTGTAAAGATTTAAGATAACGCAACCAATAACTACACATGTTGGTGTATGGCTAGTTCACAATAAGTCTCGATGTTAACATTCTGCAGTAACTGCAGTGGGCAGCCACACGAACTGTGTATAGACGTGCTCACAAGATCCTTGATTGAACCACTCGTTTTAACTGTGCCCAAGCTGAAAAGAGACCTCAAGTGGCCACCACGTAAAGTTCTACATGTGACGAAACCTTGGCAAACAAATTGCCTCGGAAAACACACATTTCTTAAAATTTACATTAGTGCTCAGTCAAAATAGCACTGACAGCTGGAAATTCAACTGGAGGCTTTTTTTCTCACCAGTACGGTGTTGTGAGTCCCACTTATAGTAATCTGTGATTCTGGAGGCAATTAAAAAAAAGAAATACTCTTGCCAATACACCATAGCAAGCAACCCTTCAGCAGTGGCAACACCAGGGAACGTGCCACATCACGAGCCAGCAATGCAAGCAAAAGGTGCACGAACAACCCTTGCTCCACAGCTCGACTTTCACAGCTTCCTCTTGCATAGAGACTTGTGTTAAATCCTGCGATAACATGCAGCAAGGCCTCGAGAAGATGTTCCACTTCACGGAGAGTTGGTAATGTCACCAGGCTAGGGGCAGGCTTAGTGCTACATAGCTCCCCGCTTAACGACTTGCCCCATTGTATGTGCAACATTCCAGAGTACGCACAAGGGTGTCTTCCCATCACACAGTGACAGGAAGGAAAGAAGGACGGCCAATTTGTGTCAGAGTTTTTCAGGATCTCCAGTTTAATATATCCTTCTATTGTACCTCCTGTACAGAGCTGCACTTGATCACCTCTTTTGTACATCAGGTTTCCCTTTGTTTAACCGCAGGAAAAAAAACAGAGAAACAAGGGTTTTCCTTCCGCAATGTTCATTCTGCTCTTTGTCGAGAGTGAAACATTGGCTAGATTACAGCTCGTGACTCCGTATTTACACTAAACGCAAGAATTCTCGCAAAAAAACACTTTGCGAGCAATGCAGCGAGTCAGCTCTGCACACAATAGAACAACTTTATAACAAGGCATCTGTAACAATCCACCAACGCGCCAATAACTCATGTGAAGACTTGAACAGGCAGTCTGTTAGAGGTTTCAAAAATAATAATAATGGGAGTATTTGTAAAGACCAAAATACCTGACTACACACAGCATCATACCTTGTGACCATTTGCAATGAGCCTTCGTTAAAAAATATGTCGCATCTCGTAACGCCACCATACAGTAAGAGACGTCCCAGTGGACACTCTTGCTCTCTCTCTCATAAAATTCACAGATTGACCAACAAACAAACATAAGTCCCAAGTTTTGCATGCTCTCTTGATAGGCAGTGAGAGTCGGAAATGGTTCCAAACTCCCCATTCCTCTCCCAGAGTCGCCACCAAAGCAAAGCAAAAGAGGAAGAAAACTTACAATGATTCTAAGGTATTGCTTCATATGCAAGAGCTTCTGCAAAAGACGAAGTTATTCTCACCTCTAAGTCTGTGTTTCAAAACACAAGCTAGTCAGCTATGGTATACTGCTTCGGCTATGAGAAGAAAGCTGCGCGCAAACTCCACCTGTTGCCGTTGCAAGCAGAATAGTGGTACATCTCTTGTTCAAAGCTAAATGCCAGTTAATTGGGCATGCACATACTTTTCCAGTCACTCAAGAGCATATAGACATCGTGCGTGGGTTGGCGAGTCATGGGGTGTTGTGACGGGGGCCACTGATGGGGGCTGGGGCTTGTTTAGGGAGAGCCCTACACTATATATTCACCAAAGTCAACCAAGCCTTTGAAAAGCCCCGTTGTTGCGTCCTTTAGCCATCCCATTACTCTTCCCAATAAACGTTTCCCGTTCCGTTACACTTCTTTCGTTCCCCACAACAACGTGCAGGTGCCGCGGGAATTCCGCGGTAAGTGAAAACAGAATATTTGTACTCATTTCTAAAAGTATACACTGGCCTGCCTACAAGTCTATATTGTTTGTTCGTGCTCTGTGACCACCAAGATGCAAAACACACATTGAATATCTGGCGGAAAAGTGGACAAAGTAAAGCGACCCATGAGACCCCTGTAAACGTGACAATCCCTAGAGTAAACAAGGTGTGCGCGTCTGTCGGTTCGTGAATGTGCACACAAATGCAACACGTGCCTGAACAGCAGCCGTGATAACAATAGTGAAATAGGTAGGGGACAACAGAGGCCAACATTAGACAAGGGTCAAGTAGGCATGAGCAGCAGGGCAACTTTGCTTTTCTGAAGATCATCACTGAGAAAACAGCTCTGGCCCAACCCCCAAAGTTACAGGAAGACTGGTTCTTGATTCTCTCACTGCAAAGCCAATCACTCATACAAGACACAAAAGTGACATCCATTGCATTAAACATGACATGGACAAAAAGTAATTGATGGAGGAAAAACAGAAAAAGTTGTATCAGGACATGAAACTGACAACGATGTCGAGCACATAAGCACTGTCATCTTTGCTGCTCCTGGCAAATGTGCTGCTGTGGTCACTAACAGTAAATAGTCAGATGTCTTTCAAAAGATCTATCGACCAGGGAGGCTTGAAAAAATTGGGTTAATCAAAATCAGAATAACTGCAAATGCTAGCCCACGAGGGCTAGCACAGTACGTTTGGCCAGCAAAGCAATTAGAATGCGGGCCTGAGCACACAAGTAAGATGTCTAAGTTTGGACTCGACCAGTAAAGCAAGCTCCGCCATCGTGATCCCCAGAAATCGACCTCAACTGCAACAGCAATGCCGCCGGCTTTGCTCTTTCCTGCCCGCAACTTCGAACAAAGTTCAACAGCGTTCCCACTTAGCTGAGCATTCCCATGTTTTTCATGACCTCTGAACCAAAGCCTGGCATTCCCATGTTTTTCATGACCTCTGAACCAAAGCCTGCCTTCAATCTCTGCAAAACTAAACTGCATCGGTATGAGCTATGCAGCAGCAGAAAGATGCACATATGCTTGGCCATGGCCAGTACTTTTATGAGACATCACTGCAGTGAAATATGCTACCATCCAGCATGATGAGCCTGCCACACTTTGGCTCACAGTTCAAGGGAGCCTGGTGCAAAGTGCAGGAGGGAGCAAATGAAAACGACAGTCGAAGGACACTCACACTGACACTCAGAAACACACCACACATCATGGCAGGAGACAATTCGCGCAAGTTGCATATCTGCCTCCTCGTCGGCACTGTCTGCACACGCTGTTGCGTCCACTGTTGCATGCCATAGGTGCATGACTAGGAGTACACCCCGCCACGAAGAGCAGCACAAGCATCTGTGTGTAAAGGAAACTGTGGCACCCTTTGCGTCGCATGCATGCACGCTGTGCAGAAGAGTGCACATACCAGATGGCACCAGCTACTAGAAAGCTAGAAAAGTTTGAATGCAGGGCATGTGCAGTAAGTTCTTGTCACATATTTGTTTTTTTTTTGTTCTTGCTTCTTTCTCTTTGTGAAAGGCAATTTTTCATCAGCAGAGAATTGCACTACCGCAAATCACAGCCCAAAGAAATGGGGATGCTACGCTAATCCAAGAAATGTGCTTCTGGAAGCTGCCTTGAAATGAATTCACGAAACCTGTGAAATCTTCCTTGCGCAGTGCTCAGGATGGAGGGGAGGGACGAGGCAAAACAGATGAGAAGAAATAACCCTTTAAGAAGAGTGCGAGACAAGAAAGTTCAAGCCATGTGCCCCTGGAAAAAGGTTTTTGTATTCTCGCCTGCGTGTTTCGTATTGCATTCGTTTCTTGAAACACCTCGTGGTCTGCGAGCAAAAACAGCTATGGTCAACTTACACTACAGGTGCTGGCCCCATGGCGAGAACATGCAATGTTGGCTGGATTTCAAATAAAATTATTTTGAATTATTACATGGCAATTGGTAGCATCTTCAAGAGTACGACATCCTAGAATTAAGACATACATGGACAACTTCAGTCAGCGTTTCAGTTGTTCTCTTACTCGTTGTGACGTGGGAAACACCTAAAGAGGATTTGTCCTTTGCCACAAGAAGGCATGGAGGGCGGGGAGTGATGGAGAGTGATTAACAGCAACCAATGCAAAGAGTATGAGAGATGCACCGTAAACAAGAGCTGTGCCACAAAAGAGGAGAGCGCCTCCAAAGTGACTCATTGTGAGCGACATGCCCACACACATCTGTAGATACGTGCGAACCTCACGGAGACTCTAAAATAATAGTGGAAAGAGAGGACAGGGTTCTCAGAAAGTGCACGTTTTGTGATGTG